AACTCAGTGACCTTGTCAGCCAGTTGTGCATCACAACTCGAAGGCTGAGACTCTGTGTCTGAGACGCTGGGGTCAAGCGTGCTGGACAGTGAGCATGGGTGGGAAGGCATGGTGCAGAAAGGCATGCCCTTCCTCCCAAGCAGACAGGAGTTGCCCTGAACCCCCAATTTTCCTTCTTTGGCATATTTCCCTCTTCTGGGTATGGCTGAATGAACGGCCGGTGGTGGAAATCTCAGGACTTGCAACCAAACATCTTACTGAACCTGCCTGGGCCTGTCACTGCCTCACACTGAGGCTTTGCTGTCAGGAGAGACCGATCGTGACCTTGGGTTGCTGTGAGGATTCGAGAATAAGAGCATGGGTCAGCCGGGTGGGTCCAGCTTCCAGCTGTATCACGGCTAGTCCTGTAACTAATTTGGGCCAGTGACTTCAGTGCTGTTAGCCTTGGTTTCCTCACCACGCAAAACAGGGATACTTAAGACCTTGTAGATGACTGAGAAGATTAAATAGGGCACGATTTAGCTGTGCCTGGTACACAGCAAGCTCCCAGTGATGTCAGCTGGGGAGATGATGGTGAGCAAGAATTAACCATCATGCAAGTAGGTGGCAGGAGTCACAGCAGATGCAATGGAAGCTGGGCCTAGTTCTGTCCAAAGGGAAGAGTCCTCAGTCACACCAGGCATTTAAAACACACAGCCACGAGGCAGAGGACTTCCTTTGGGAGTCGTTCCTTCTGGCTTAGCTCAGGCACAGCTCAACCTGTGGTCAGATTGCTCTGAGATCCGTCAATAGACAGTGGAAGCATGGCAGCTGCCCCCCAGAACTTTCGGATGACGCACGGGTCCTGCCCCAGTGGAGTCTCTGCAAACCCAAACCACCTGCAGGCTTGGTGGGGGGTATAGAGCAGGCCTAGAAGCTTTCTGAACATCTGGCTGCATTCTGCGGCCTGGCTTCTTGGGATTCTAGTTCCTAAACCAAGACTTGAGGCTGTGGAGATGGTGGTCTCTGCCCACTGCAGGATGCCCAGGTTAAAGATGTCCAGCCAGGCCTGCCCCAGAATCGGTATGAAGACCAGAAAGAGCTCCTGAGCACCTACTGCGTGCCAGATGCTTTCTGAATAACTGACACTTGTCACTGCTGCCCTACCACCATAAGCAAGACCCCAGCTTTTGTCTCAGGGAGGGCAGATAATTTCAAAAGACTGATGTGAGTGCTATGAGGATGAGGGTGCACTGGCTTGTTTATGCCACATCCCCAAAGTCCTGCTAAATAGCAGCAGCAGCAGCAAGAGTAGAGTAAGAGGGGTCCCAGCAGCACACGCCGAACACAGGGCTCGGCACACAGTAGGTATTTACTTAATAAGTGTCTGTGGAGTGAATTTGATTTTGAATAGTTCTTTGTTTGGAAGGTCTGATCTGAGATAGAGCGTCAGGTGAAAACACCCAACCACGAGGTTACTGTAACAGAAAAATAAGGAAGTAGGAGCTTTGGAGTCAGGAAGGCAGAGAAATTTTAGTTTTTAGTGGTCCTATGACTGGCAGCTGCCTTCCTCTGCCCTTAAAACATGCATCCACATCTCTCTTGTCTTTATCTCAGTGGGCAAGCTATTCCATTTCCCCCTAAAGCTCCCTCTTCTCGTCTAAAAAATGAGGACAGAATTACTTGTCTCACTTGGGGTTATTTTAAGGACTGAGAACGTAAATCCCTGGTCAAAAGCCAGGTGGGTGGCTGGGCCTTCGTAAGTGGCAGCCACCGTCCTGTAGCATGTCCTTCCCACATGGGCGGCTGTGTCCTCTGATTCTCTGGCCCCTGGGCATGGTCTGCAGCCAGTCGCCAGCAACAGCTTAGACCTTCGGCTGGGAAGGAGGGTTAACTCTGTGGGCAGCTCTTCTTGGGGAAGAGGGAAGGACGGATGAGTGAGCCCTGACAGTGGGGAGGGGCAGGCTGGCTGCAGAATTATGTGTTCTGGGTCACTCTGGGATTTATTGCTACATTTCATTATTAGGTCTCCAGGGAATGCAGAAAACAATGAGTAGATCCAAACACAATAGAGTAATTCCTCTTTCACATCCCCAACTCAGATAACAGCTTTCCTGCAGTTGTGGGGCGGGGGTGCATTCCTGCTCCTGGTCTGCAGATGAATTGGGTGTTAAACTGGCAGGGCTGCTTGAAACCAGCCGGGTGAACTGGAGTGAATTAGATGTGAAACAGCAGCTCCTGGCAGAGGGTGAATAATTCACTCAGGATTACAGCCAGCTGGAGGCCTGAGGCTGCCCCAGTGTAAGGCCAGGCAGAGGGCTGTGGGAAGAGTCTTCTATAGGAGGGGTGCAGTGATGGAACGGGGCCTGCAGGCCCTCGCCCTCTGGGGGAGGCCCACTTCCTTCTGCGGGTTCGAGGTCCGTGCCACCCACCTGGGTGTGGGGACTACAAGATGAGGGACTCTTCTGGGAGTTCCTAGCCTCTTGTCAATGCCCAGCAAGGGTGACTGGGCCCCTGGGCCCCTGTCTTACGCCATGTTCATAGGCACCGCAGCGTCTATTCCTCTCAACTTTGGTGCTGTGACTACTCACTGGGGTCCCCCTGCAAGGAGCTTCAAGTCAGTGGGGTGGCTGACAGGCAGGCACTGCCCCCAGCTCACTTCCATGTGTCCACTGAGCGCCCAGATATGCTGGGCACAGGGCCAGGCATGGGGACGGGGTGAGAAAGGCAGTCCTCACCCGCCGCCCGCACTGAGGTTTTAAGCAGGGCTGCCTTTGGGACTGCGCAGGAAGCTACTTCCAGGATGGGTGCCTGGCCCTCGTCTGAAGGGCCTCGGTATGTGTACTTGGGAGCTCTGGTGTGTACTCTGAGGTGAGTTACTAGTGGACCAGAAGGACAGACGCGTAACCAGCCGCCTCAACACTGAGACTGGTGCCAGGGAAGGTGCCTGGGGATGGCGGGCCCAGGTCAGGCCAAGATCTCTCCAACTGCAGCTAGGTCGTCTGCTCTGCCACCTGCTGGCTGTGTGGTTTGGGTGATTTGTGTGTGGAAAGGTGGGGATGCCCATATCCTGCAGGCGTGTGCTGCTGTGACCCCTCTTACTCTACTCTTGCTGCTGCTGCTGCTATTTCGCTCTCACAAAGCCAGACTTCAATAAGCAGGAAGAGAAGCTGCACAGAGGAGTGTGCACTTGATCTTGAGTGGCGGGGGCGTCGAAGCACTCGGTGCCTCGTGTGTGTGTGTGTGTGTGTTTGTGTGTGTGTGTGCGCGCGCGTTTGTGGTGGTGCATGGGGGTAAACTAGTGAACTACAGGGTGCCCAATGCTGAATGCCTCCAGCTCCTCCCTCCAAGGACCAGCTTCTCCTCTCTCCCCAATTCAGAGGATGCAGCCCTTTCCCTTAGCCTGTCCAGCTGGCACTGACTCCTGAGCTTGGCATCTGAGCTCTTGTGCCAGGCTCCTGCCCTAACCATTTCCCTCCATGGCTCTTGGTCCCTTTCACAGGCCACAGAGACATTAGACTTAACGCTTTGCCACCCTTGAGCAGACGCCTGTTATGGGGCCGACCCTCCGTAGTGCCCTTCCCTCAGCGCCCATGGGTGACCCCACATCACTCAAGACTTAGGTTTTTGGCAAAAGATGGCACAGTGGCGAGGAGGGAGGTCTCTGGAGCCAGATGGCCTGGGATGGAGCCTGGCTCTAGCTTCGGATCTTGCAGGAAGCAAGGAGAGCAGCCTCTCCCCCGTGGCTGTGAGACTGAGCGAGACCCCGCATGCAGGCGCTTAGGACATGGCAGGCTCACAGGCACATAGGCGCCTGCTGGGGCCCCTCGCCCAAGCTCAAGTTTCTACGTCACCCCGAGCACTCGAAATATGCCAGGTGCAGGGAGGCAGGGAAGCAATGCAGGCCCTGGCTACTGGGGGGGTCACGGTCTAATTCAGGGTAGATGCTTTCACTCTCATTGTCTCATCTCCCCCTCCCTGAGAGGTGAGTATACTCAGCTCCATGATGAGGAAGCTGAGGTTCAGAGAGGTTAAGGAATTTGCCCAAGATCCTACAGCAAATCAGTGACTAAGCCGGGACCCAATCCAGGTCTGCTTAATACCAAAGCCCCAGTTCTTACCGTGCACCATAAAGATCCAGGGCCCAAGGCGGGGACCAGGAGGGATTCGAGAAGGAAGCTGCTCTGGGAGTCATCTCCCAAAAGGCTGAGGGGTAGGCACAGCTCCCTGTCATGCTCACCAGCCTGGCCTCTGAGAGGTCACCTGCTCCCTGCCCCCAGTTTCCAGCCTCACATTCTGGGGGCAGCTGTTGGTGCCCTCACTTCCAATCAAAGGGTCAAATGATAATTAATTCAATTTGTTCAGGAAGGGAACTGAAGGCTGGCATGTGAAGTTAACGTGTAATTTACGCTCAGTGGAGCCAAAGACATGCCCTTCTCCTCTCAACCGAGAATCTTCCCCTTAATCAGACTGCTCACTGCCAAGAACAAGCAGCTTGGAGAGGGTGCGCTGCCCGGCTGGGACCACGAGGGGAGGGCAGATGACCGCACAGAGGACAGTAGCTTTTCAAGGGCCTCCCTGCGGGGAGCAGGTTTGGGGGGGTTCCTGAAGCCACCCACTGGGTCAGCAGGGATGCCTCAGCCTGGAGGCTGCTAGAGGATGTGTTGACCAGGACTCAGCACCGGGTGCGCCGCCTGACCCCCTTCTTCACCTCTGCCCAGAGGTGCAGAGGAGAGATGGATGCCCAGAGGCCACCCAGCTGAGCAGAGGCAGAGCTGAACTCAGGTCTCAGCTGACCACAGAGCCTGGGCTTCCCTCAGTAGGGGTGAGTGTCTGCATCCAGAGGGTCACACCCAGCTGGCCATAAGGACCCAGGTAGATCACCTGCAGTAGGTAGAGCAGGAAAGGCAAGTAAAGGAAGTCCTTCTGACTTGATCTCCTAGCCAGTGACAAGTCTTGCGACCCCTGGTCCAGACCCTCAGGCCTGGGGATGAGCCTGGGAAGGTTTCCAGTGGACTCACCCTTCTCCTGAGCCATTTCTTGCAGACAGAAGTAGATGACTCTGGCTCCCAGGCTGAAGCCAATCAAGGTGACGGGTCGCCGACCCTGGGGAGAAAGGACACAGGTGTCTGTGGGGGCACAGGAGTACTTCTGGCAAAACAGGCCCTGCTATGGGGCCCAGGCCCCTCCTCAGTGCCTGCCTCATGCTTATGAATCAGGCAGGTGCTAGTGGCAGACCCTGGGGAGGCTTCAATGAGGGGAGCGAGGGCATTTCTGAGGCCACGGGCAGCCTCCGGCTGGGGATTTCCCTTTCATCTCTGGGGTCTTTCCCAGGACAGGGCTTGTCAATGGCACACCTGCCCTCCGTGCACACATCTGCCTTGTGGCCAACGACTGCGGTGAACGGGGGTCCTTCTAGAACAGGGGAGAGGAAGTAGGAGGCACCCCTCGGTGTGATGGGGTGACACTGGAGGGAAAACTCTTCTGTTTCTGGATGGGAAGGTCGGCCTGAAAGACTGGCTTCTGAGAAAGTAGTATGATAGACGGTGAGGGAACTTTCAGTCTAAGGAATGGCAGCTCTTAAGAAAAGGAAGGTTATCTGGGGCATTTGGAAAAAGTTCTACGTGGAAGGACAGGAAGGAACAGGTGAGCTCCACAGGCCTAGTCCTCTTACCTGTGTTTCTGCCCATACATGTGGCCCATCACCACCCCACTTGCTATAATAGAAAATCCTCATTAAACGGTCGTCTAATCCTGCAGAACTCGGTGGCAAAGTCTGCCGGGAAGCTCCCGTCCCCTCGCCCTCTGTCCTCTGGTACCAGGAGTCTTCCTAACCCTTTCACGTGGTGAAAGACTCACTCTGAGGGAAGCGCTCGATGTTGAGGAGGCTTCGACACAGCTGGGTGTCCATGCTGCAGTGCCTGCTCTCCACGCTCGCCCACTCACCCGCCAGCGAGAGTGTCTGTGATTCTCACTGGCCCATCATAGGACGCTTTCGTGATCCGAATGGGAGGGGCACGAAGACCACCCCGCCCCCATCACTGGCTCCCTCGCCATGGCTTGAGTCCAGGAATGAGTTCTGTGCGCACGCTGGCCCCACCCCTCTTCTAACCTCCCCCTCCCCACACCAACACAGTCACTCCCGGGTACCTGCTGCCGGGAGAGCAGGATGTGGGCCAGGTGCTTGCCAACCTCTGCCGACCGATGGAGGCACACCCCCCAGGGGTTGTCGATGACGTTGGCGACAGCGAGGAGCGAAGCTGGCCAGGTCAGGGCAGCCACGATGCCTGTGGAGGTGGGAAACGGTGATGAAGGCCGCCGGGCCCTTCCGGGCTGGTGGCGCCCGAGTGCAAGGGTGCAGAGCCTCTGCCGCGGACCCTGTCGGTTTCCCACGTGTCCTCAGATCCCGTGGTGAAATGGAGGATCATGCATCTCTGACCATGGACCAGACCCTTCGCTTCAGTCCATCACATGTGAGACTGCAAAGTCAGCCCCACGGGGTCACCCACCTGTATCCTCCCACTTCGCCATATGACAACCGGGACTGCCAGGCTCAGTCACGTGACTGGCTTTGGCCAACGAGCTGTCAGCAAACGTGAGGCCTGCAATGGACCTGTGTGCGGATGGGGCGGGTCACTGATCCCAGGAGGCTGAGACAGATGGAGCAGCACCAAGTTGACCAATTGCCCCGGGGGGGCTCTCCCAGTTCAGGGGACAGATGTGTGAGCAGGCCCAGGCAAGAGTACCCCACCGAGGCCTCCTGACTCCTCAGCTATATTGAGAATGACTGCTATTTTAAGCACTGAGTTTTAGGGTGACTTGTTATGCGGCAGCAGCTAATGGACATGCTGTGTGATGATGTGATAGGCTGTTTACCTGTCTTCTCCTCACAGAGACCATAAACTTTTCACAGACAGGAATACAGCCTTAGCTCACCTTCCTAGAGCTGAGCACAGGGCCTGCCTTGCTGGGGGCCTGGGCGTGTGCAGTGTGGGTGGGGGGCATGGCCTGCTGCCGGTGGCAGGGAGGGGGAGGCTTACCAGACAACACCGTGTACTTCAGGGCCTCCTGGGCCACCATGTTGGCAAGACCACTGAGGATAGTCTCCAGGGCGTTGCCGAGCTCCATCAGGTACTTGGCCTCCCAGGCCAGGCAGTACTGCTCACGGCTGCGGGCCAGGGCAGCCCAAGGGGCGCTGAAGGTGCCTGGGGAGGACACAGGGAGGTGGAGGTCTCTCCTGGCTTCACCCCACTTTCTCAGACAGGCCACAGGGGACACTCACCCTTGGGGGGGGGGAGACAAGAGGCCCACCCTCTGCCAATGAACACCTTTGGTGGTGCAGACAGAGCTCCCAGATGGATCCCGGGCCACCCTGGAGTCAGCAGGCTGGGGCTTGACTCTGCATTCACGAGTAATTGGGTGACTGGGCACCACACTCTCCCACCTGAGCCCTACTTGCTCTGTGGAGAGGCTAATGTTCACATCCCTTCACAGAGCAGCTGGAAGAGTAAGTGTGTCAGGTGCTGTTTTCTTCCACCCTGAGGTGATTTTGGCACCGGGCTGCTGAGGGCTTGGGATCACCTCAGGACAAGCAGACAGGCTTTGCTTCAGCAGCAGCTCGAGTCTGGAAGTTTGGGCCCAGCTCAGCCATGATCTCACCAACTTTCCTGAACCTCGGTTTCCTCACTGAGGGACTGGAAGTGGAGGATGAGGACAGCACCCCTGCAGCGGCCAACGTCAAGCAGGAAAATATGGCCACGGGTGTCTGTCTTGCTCCTGGTCTTCCTGCCCTGAGGATGGTGTCTCCTCCTCAGTGCGACACTCAGGCTCTCTGTGACCTGTCACCTGCCCCTGTCACCTGCACAGCCTCCTCGATTATCCCTCCCTAACCTACACTTTGCCCTACAGAAACACACGTTTCTGGTTTGTTCGTCCATTGGTTATTCATCCGCTTGTTCATACCGCAGCACTAACCGCTGTCTAGACTGTGCCAGACTCCGAGCCCGGCCCGAGGACACAGGCGGTGACTGACGCAGGGAGTGCTCAGTGAGCCACACTAGGTGCTGGTGGCTGCCTTCACAGGGACTCTTCCACGTAGCCTTCTCATAGCCTCTGAAATAGGGCGCCGCAAGGAGCCCCACTCGACAGTCCAGGAAATGGAGTCACCTGGATAAAAGGGCTTCAGGTCCAGGCACCGGGAGGGGCGTGCAAGCATCACACAGTCACTCCATTCCTGGAGGAGGCAGGGGCTGTGGGAGCACAGAAGAACCCCTGGTCTGGCCCCACACTTTTTCATCTGTGGCTCAAGTGACCTTTTCTTGTCTTTGAGCTTTCAGTCCAACTGCCACTTCCATGGAAGCTCCCGACCCCTCTGAAGGGGCCCTCTGCACTTCTCCTAAGTTCTCATCCTAGCCGCAGCCACACGTCTACTTTCGCGTCCTCTGTTGATTGCACGTCTCTCCCATAGCACGAGACCCCGGACACCTGGTGACGTGGTGTGTAGTAAGCACTCATGAAAACGTGTTGAATGAATGAATGAGTGGAGGCAGCTCCCCAAAGGTGCTCACTGCCCAGACCACAGGCCTCATCCCCTTTCAAGGATGCTATAAGGAGATGAAGACCATCCTGGGACTGCTCACTCCCCGCTGCAGGCACAGGACTGCCAGAGCCCAGGGATAACTCAACAGCGGGTGGTGTGGGGCTGGGGGCTCATGGCATGTGGGCAGCTGGCTGGGCTGTGGGCTGTGGAGCTCCCTGGCGGCATGACTCATTGCTGGGCACGCTGCCCTCTGAACCTCGTTCTGCACCTGCTAGAACGAAACAACATCTGACTCACGGCTTCACGGGGATCACGTGAGAAGCTGCAGGAACAGCTTATGGAAACTGCAGGGAGCTACTCGGCATTCGCTGCCTGTGCCAAGGACGTGGGTGATGGTGCCAGGCAGAATGGGGTGAGCTCTGCCCTGCCGATCCTGATAAGCACAGTGGCCCTAGGTAGCCCTCAGGAGCCTCAGGTCCCTCTTCTATAAAATGGGAGCGATACGCCCACCTCCCTATCTTGAAGTGAGGGCCTCAGTGAGCCACATGCACAGGTCCGGGCAGAAGGCAGCTGCAAAGCTGTTAGCACCATCACACATGACCCTGCTTCACAAGCAGGGGCTGAGAAAGTCTGATTACTCCCATCGGGCACAGAAGCAGGCTGTGGTGCACTAAGGCTTCTTTCTTGCTGTTGGGAGACAGGAAAGGTGACATATTTCCATCCTGAACTTAAGCTAGCTTGGTAATATTTCTTGTAACCAACTTCTCTATCTGGGGATCAAACTGAACTAGGTGGCTGTCTCCCCAGATAAACTTGACCTTTCACTTGGGGATACTGAGCACAAGGGGGTAAAGCAAAGACAAGGATTTGTTCTCCATACATAAGTTCATTTAGACACTAGCTCTTGCTCCGTCCTGTCTCTCTGTAGCATCATATAATGAAAATGAACAGAAACCCATGAGCTTTTGGTCAGGAGACCCAGGTTCAAGTCCTGTATCTGCCCTCTGCTGCCACGTGGCCTTGAGGGTCACACAAGGTAACCTAGGGGGTCACAAGAGGTGGCATCTATCAAGTGGGCAGGATGCTTGGCTCAGGGTGAGTGCCAGGTGCTCAGCTAACGGAGACACATGCATGGGGACAAGGCCTGGCGGCCACATGCCAAGGACGCTAGTTATGTCTCCAAACAGAGCCTGGCCATTTTTTCACTTGCTTTCTCGGTGTCACCGCTGGCTTCCACCTTGGGTCCCTGAGATTCGGGAACCAGGAGGTGATCAGTATCTGGTTGGCCTGCCCTGCTTGTTGAGTACTGAACTGTTTGCTGAGCCTCACGCCAGGTGCTTGCAAAGATGGGCCAGGCAGTGAGTGGGCCATGGTGTCAGTCCTCACAGGCACCCTGCTTAGACTGCCCCCAAGACATATACGTTCAAGTTAGAACAATAGTGTGAACTGATGTTTGTGGAAAGCCAAGTAGAAACGGGTAGCCTTTTGCTTATTGTCTTGTTTAATCTTTGGAAGTAGCTTGAAAGGCAGGAATGATTTGTTCTACTTTATAAATGAAGCAGCCAAGGCACAGAGAGGTTAAGCAAAGTGCCTGAGGTCACAACCAAGGCACACTGATGTCTCACACACATGTGTCAAGTCCTTTGCTGTCTTCCCTTGCTCTACAGATTAACTCAAACTCCTTGCCACAGCTCATGTGCTCCTGTGGCCCTGCCCACCTTCTTGCCTGCACTCCTTTAAGTTTATTTGCACCACAGGGCCTTTGCACATGCTGTCCTTGTGCTTGATTTATGCTTTTTGCTCCCGCTCTACCCAGCTAACTTCCAGCCAGTCCTTAGCCTAAATGTCACTTTCTCCAGAGACCTTCCTCATTCCTCAGAAACACTCTGGGCTTACCCTAGTGTGCCATCCATAACGCCTCCCCCTAATTACTTGTTTAATGGTCTCTCTCCTGCCATGGACCTTGTTCCATGGAGTGTGGCTCAGTGATTGGCACGTGGTTGTACAGCGCTCTATAAATACTACTGAGGAGATGAATTGATGGGTGGATGGACAGATGGATTTGTAAATGGATGAGCTAGATGGATAGATGGAAAGATGGATATGGGAAGACGTCATCTCACTTTGAACATTTGAAACCCAGTTTCCTTTTTGCTAAATGGGGCTCCCCTACCCACCCTCAAAGACATACACTGGCAAGCGTCTAGGCCAGGGTCTGGCCTGCAACACTCACTCAAAGCCCATGCCCATCCACCACCTTCTCCGATCCGCTCTTAGTCTTACGGTATTTGCCAGACGCCAGCCAGCCCGTGATGGCGATGGTGATGTGAAGCTGCCTGCCCTCAGTCAGAGGCAGAAACGTGAACTCTTCAATGGCCCCCACACGCTTCTTCATCTTATATCCTAAAGACGCAGACAGGAGACAGAGTAGAGGCGACTGGGGACATTAGAATAGCTCTCTGCTTACATGCTCGGCAGTGATCTCTGTCCCCTAGACAAACACCTCTCATTTTCTAACTCCTAAGGCAGGTACCATTATTGCCCCTGGTCACAGACCACGTGAGAAGCTTCCACAGGCTGGCCGGTACTGGCGGGGTGGGGAGGGTCAGAGTAAGGGGGGACTCAGCGCCCAGGCTTATAACCACGTCCTGACTCAGTTGGTTCCCTATCTTTTTTCTTGCTCATGAACTTTAGAGGGACAACACCCTCCTCTCAGGAAATGTGGACCCAACTCACCAAGATTCTCAAAGTGGGGCATGCCACCCCCTTGGGGAGTAGAATAGGAATCTGTGTGAGTAGGGGGCTGTTGACCCAGGATTTAGAAGAACTCCCGCAGGCAACGCTGGTAAGGAACCATGGCCACCAGCTCTCTTCCGAGAGGAAGCCCAGGCCTCTGGGGAGGACTGCCTGGAGGCAGGTCCAGGTCACTTTTGTGACAGACTGTCACAGAAGCCTCCGCAAGGTGCCGTTTCTCCCACTCAGCCCGTCCCCCACCCATGCCAAGCTACTGGCCCAGTTCTGTGTGAAGCCTGCTGTTCTGGCGGGACTGGGACCCAGAGTGAGAAAGCCATGTCTTCCCCTGTCTCCTGGGAGCCACCGCTGGGGAGATCTTCAGCTGTCTGTGAGGGCCCAGGCCAGCCTGGCTGAATTCCTTTTAAACCTTACCTGTCAGGCCGGCTCCCGCTGCACCGAACAGTGAGGTCATGACGGCGATGCCGGCCACTGAGCCCAGAGCCGCTGCCCCAGCACTGCCGATGATCGTCGCAGCTCCGGCTGCAACAAGAGGGGCAGCCAGCCCTCCGGTGACGCCTGCGAGCAAAGCAGCCCATGGTGGGCAGAGGTGGGGTTAGAGGAACAATAAGCAGCTACCTGGGAGTCAGTGACTGGCATCCTGAAAGGAGTCCATCTCCTGGTGGCTGACGGACTCCACCCTCCACTTCCATGCCAGAGAGACTGCAGGCTCAAAGAACTACAACTCCCAGCGTGCCATGAACCTGACTTCCTGAATGAGGGGCTGCTGGACACTAGGGGAGGGGTTAAGTGGCCACGCTGGCTTATATGAACACGTTCAAGCTCTTGCTTTACTTCTGGCTTCGATTTGTACCTTGGTACTGCTGGGGCAGACACATGGAAGGGAGACATGGGGACACTTGGAAGAGAGGCTTGGAAAAGAGACACGTGGGGAGGCTGATTCTGGCCTGGTGAGACTATGGTGTCTATAATCTTGACCTCATATTGGATCGTGGGGTATATTTTAAATTTCGAGTCTATCCTGTCCCAGCTCTGTGGGACCTGCCTAACCCCCGTCTTGTGGTCCCTTGCCAGAAGGTGCCTTAGACTTTTGGAAAGCTTTTGGGCTCAGTCGCCCTGCGTTGAGTCAAGACTGTTTGGCTGGACATTGGCCCATAAGGTGATGGGCAAATATTTGAGTTTGCTGTCATTTGAAATTCTTCTCTCTCTCTGAACATCAATTCTATTGAAAATCTATCACAAGAGTCTACACCTTTGCTTTTGTGCATGTGGGTGGCCTAACCCCTTTTAGAACATGTACCCCTTAACAGTTTGGGGTCCCTGGGTACCCTTCTATCACATGCTAACAGTGGGAGTGGGGATATGGGCTGCCAGGTTCTTCCCATCCATTGCCCACTGCTTTCCAGAACACTTCTAACAATTCTAATGAACATACTTCCTGCTGACGGAGCACCTACTACGTGCCACCTCCCAGCAGATCCCCTACTCTCTCCACTCTACAGGCTGATATCTCCCCGCACTCTGCACTTCCCGGTCTGAGGGTCACTGGGCTCATACCGATCACTGTCCCGCCTCCGACAGTCGCCAGGCCTATCAGGAGGTAACGCTTCCATTTCCTGCGGTTTTCTTTCTTCTTCCGGGATGCTTCAGCCGTCCTGGGGAGAAGAAGTTGGTCTTTGGGGTCAGGTTGAGACCTCCCGTCACCAACCCCCAGACTGGGATCAATGCTGGGAACTCTGCCATGCAGGACAAGACACCAAAGTTACCCTGGACCCAGCAGTGGTTTGGACAAGCTGAGAACATTCTAACAGCCAGCTAGGGAGCCCCAGCATGTGGGATATGCTACTTACCCAAGGGATCCATCCTAATGGGGTTGCGATTTGAATAATGAAAAGACAAAAGGATAATAGCAAAAGAAGCACACACACACAAAAAAACTATCTTTAAATAGATGGACCCAGAACAGGTACCAAATAGTATCACAAATTCCATCATCTTCCTCCTCCCTCCCTCTCCCCCTTCCCCCCCAATCTGGTCCATCTCCCTCTGAGCTATCTGCAAACCAATTCCCTTTATTATAATCATTTCAAAGCTGGGTCAGAGAAATGACTGCACTGGCAATGCTGACCTTGGGGCAATAGCTCGACTTGCTCACAAAGCTAAAGACAAAATGGCAGCAACAGATTTTTTCATATGTCAGTAATTACTCTAAATGTTACTGGACTAAATTCACCAATTAAGTGATACAGGTATCTGGCTGGACTAGGAAACAGACTTGAAATCCAAACACTATAATGCACATGCCAGGAAATTATTTGAGGGGTGGAGGGGGGCTGATGAATTCTGGGAGTGGCCATGGTGTGCACTCAGGCTCCACTAAGCCCTGTTTTCCTGTTGGACACTCAGCCCTCACTGCTCTGGGGCAGGACAGGGGACCGACGGTGGGTTGGTGAGGTCATTACCAGCACAAACTCTGAACTAAGATGTAGTTCGGACAACTTAATGGAGAGTGATAGCAGAGGATGAGTATAATAAAGTACGATGCTTAATATTTATTGAGGACTTCCCATTTGCTAGGCACTGTACTTTGCATGTCACGTGGTTTATCTCATTCCATATTCTTGTCTCCATAGTATATGCAAGTGCAGGGGTAACAGGATCCACTGCTGGAGGGGCCATGGGATCAGAGAAGAGACTGTCTCAAGTACTTAGCATGAAGATACGACACCTCAAGGAGTGGCAGCTGCTGCTCGGGGTTATCACACTGCTGCATCTCCCTGGGCCTCAGTTTCCTCTTTTGTAAAATGGGGACAATAACATCTACCTCCCAAGGGTGTGCATCTGTGAAGATTAAACTCCTTCCTTCTTTAGCTACTCAATCAACACACTTTCGCTGAGAGCAGGCGACATGCTGGCTCTTCTGGTTGTGAGTATTAGTGAGCAGGATGATGCGTAGACTCAACCCTCAGCCAACACTGGCATCCCTCCTCTCTGTCCTCATGAACTGTACATTATATTGGGAAATAGATCACCCACCCACTCATCGAAAAGCAATGGGATCTGAGTTGGGCCTCTGGAGTCTGCTATGCTTTTTGTTCACTGCCAGCTCACCACAATGGAATTTTTCCTTAAGCACCTCCTTCCTGGGGGTAGCCCCTGGTGCTTCTCACTTGCTTCACTACAGAGAGGCAGAAGCCAAAGACAAATATGTCTGTGCACACCAGAGTGCTGGTTTGCCATGATGGAAATTGGTGCCACCAGACATGGGGGGGGCGAGGTTGAACCACATGCATCTAGAAAAGCGGAAGGCAGGAGTGTGATGGAAAGCCTGGGCTCTGATGTCAGGATTCAACCTCCGTTGGCTACAGGGCCTAACTCCTGCTTGAGTTATGGTGGTGAAGTGTCACTATTCACCAAACATCCAGTTACCTCTCCCTGCAGAGCTCGTCCTTCCAGAAAGAGTAAACATCCCTGCCCTGTTGAACAGTGAAGTCCCATGATGCTTTCTAGGCATTGAAATGTGGGTGCAAGGGGTGTGTGCAAGAGCCTGGCATGTCTCCTTCTGCTTGGCTCCAAGACCAGCAACCTTCCACATAGAGGTCACATTGTCAACATGGGACCCAGGACAAGAGACTGTGTCCTTTGGGTAGATTCCTAGGAGTGGAATTGCTGGATTGTGTGGTAGATCTGGAGCTGGAAGGGATTATGCTCAGTGAAATAAAGAAAAAGAAAAATATCAGATGGCTTCACTTGTAGGTGGACTATAGGGAAACTGAACAAAGGGTCAGGAAAAAGGCAAAACTTGCAAGCTGACCATAGATTTGAGGCACACAGCAGGGAAGCAGAGGGAAGAAGAGGTCAAAACAGGGGAGGGAAGAGCACAAGGGACTATAGTGATGGCTCACAGGTGATGTGGTGAAGGGAGATTTAGGGGGACTACACTTGAGGGGAGAAATCAAATATTGTACAAAAATGAATGATGAAAAAAAAAAAAAGACTGTGGACTAGACTCTGAGCCTACCGCAAATGGACTTGTGGTGTGAGTAAGAGCTACACCTTGGTTGCTGTAACAACAGACTTGAAGCCATTCGTTACTGCAGCTGAACCTAGTCTATGCTGATGGATACAGTCACTTCTGAACTTTGTGACTATGTGATAATCATGTGTCCCAGCTGGGTTTCCTCATTCAGCCAGTGGGGACAGTGACAGTGCCCAGTCTCAGGGGCACGGTGAGGGCTATGAGATCACCCATTTGCACTCGCTGGGTAAAGTGATAGTTCAGTGTGTTTGCTGATGTTATCATTCCTTTCCTTCTTAAGATAATTTCCTCCTAAGCACAGGCTGCAGATAGACTTTGGCCTCTAATTGCTAGTACCATTCAGCGCCAACAAGAAGGTTGGAAATTAATTGCTTTTTGCAGAGTTCAAAGAAAAATTCAGCTGCTGACGATGTGCACAGGGAACGTGTCAGGAGAGCACGCGTGCAGCAGCTGGAGTCAGCACCGCGAGGGAACTAGTTTGGGAGTTTGGGCCCAGCTCAGGCATGATCTCACCAGTTTTTCTGAACCTCAGTTTCCTCACTGGGGACTGGAAATGGAGGGTGACGACAGCACCCCCACAAGGGCCAATGTCAAGCAGGAAAGTAGGGCCTGGGGTGTCTGCCTCGCTCCCGGTCCTCTCTCTGTCCTGAGGATGGTGTCCCCTCCCCGCGTGACACTCAGGCCCTCTGTGACCAGGTTCTTACCTCCCTTCACAGCCTTATTGCTCATCACTTCCAAACTGATACTCTAGTGTCAGAAACAATGACCCGCCTGCAGGGACCCGACCCGCCTCAGCGCTGATGTTCCTGTTGCCCTTGGTTGCCAAGGGCCTTCTCACCTTCCTTCCTCTCGTTAAACATTACTCATCCTTCTAGAGTCACCTCCTCCAGGAAGCTGACCTGATCCCCAAGGTGGCATAAATGCCCTGATTTGGGCCCTCTAATACTTTGCACTGAAGAAGCCTGCACTTGTACACCTTTGATTTTCAAAGAGTGGGCTTTGGATTATTGCAGTGCACCCCCAGGGGTCACTTTAAAAGTACAGCTTCCTGGTGCAGAAGTTCTGGGAATGAGGTGAAGAAATTCACTGTAACAAGGTGCTCCGGGGATCTGTTGTATTACATATTTGAGAATCGCAGGCTAAGCCCTCAGGGCATAGATGGGCCCTTCCTTTTCTTCACCCTTAGCAGCTGGCCTTGGGCTTGGGGCCTAGAGAAAGCTCAGAAAAGGATGCTTGAGCAGTGTGATCATTGAAATAAGCACTGGATGTGAACATTTGGCTGCAGTGATCAATGCTCCCACTCGCTGTCCATCGGTGTGACAACCAGAGGGGTGAGGGTGGACGTCCACAGTCAGTCACTATCAGTGTGATGACTTCTGGGGGTGTTAGGACAGATCTGAAATGTCAGACAATTTTAATGATTGCTATAGATGCACTACTGAGAACACGGTCAAGTTCTTGAGTTGGCACCTTTGACATTTCTCAGTGCCATCTGCTCCTAGATCGTCCCTGTGGTGACATTTGCACATCTATGATATTAGACAGTCATCCCTTTTAGCTGAGTTTATGGCAGGCAAGGCTTATGGCTGAAAGAGAGTAAAAGAACTAAGAAGTAAATCAGCCCTTGAAGGTTGTTTTAAATGAATGAACATTAGTTTATCAAATCAGTCTTCTAAGGGAAGGATGGACAGTATACTCTGCTCTAATATTCTGTTTTGTATTATTAAAGTATTTATAAATATTTATGAATCAGAGAGAATATTTTCCCTAAAGTGATTTAGTGAAGGCATTGTCTCTTATGTTTACCTGCATTACCAATTGATTTCCCTAATTATTTAAGTTCCTGAAGGTCCTTAACACTTTGGTACATAAAATGAGCAGCTTTCTCAGTCATCACTAATTGTCACAACATTTTGCTCCTGCAATTACTCCAACTGTCTGAATTTCCATATCTACAACGCAAGAGGAGATGTGAGCTCTGAGCTACATTGCTTCCCGTGTTTGGATGTGAGAATTCAGGGCGTAACACTAAATTAAGTGAATTCCTCTTATTACTGACTCGGCCCGCTAGTGAGATTCCATGGCAACCAACACCACCGTACAGTCCCTGGCCACACTCCCCTCCTGGGGTGCCAGAAGTGACCTGGAGTGGGTGTTCCACAGCAGCCTTCCCAAGACAGTGCTGAGGTCAAGTCACAGATTTGGCCCAAAGCTCAGGGGGAGACACAGGTCCTCAGTGAAGGGGGAGATACCCACGCGGCCCACCCCAGGATCCACAAATATGTTCTGTTTGTTGCATTTCATCTCCCACGAGAAGGTGTTCCTGACCCTTAGCACCCTCACCATCACTCCCTTCCAGTTGACAGAGACAACAGAGGGAGGGCTTATCTCTGGGAAGGCCAGAGACACTCTTCCAATGAAGGCTCAGAAAGTCCCATAAAAGACTTATCTTTACTGCTTTCTGTCCATTTAAGGAGGGCACCCACGCGATTGTCAGCCTTGAGCTACATGGTTAGTGGATGTCATCTGGTGGTTGAATCAGAGGCTGCCACTGGCCAGCTGTGTGGACTGTGGTGGTCATGTCAACCTGCTGACTTTCTTCAGCTGCTGAACTAGCAGGAGATTGTGATGAGCACTCAATAAAAGATGTTATCAATGTCATTATGAGGTCATCAAAATAAACCTCCAGCAGTGCACTAGCTGACTTTTCCTGAGGCCTACTGTGGGCCAGGCTCTGTCCCAAGCTTTCGATATGCGTGAATTAACTGAATCAAGCTTTCAATATGAGTGAATTAACTGAATCAACACTCCCCCCTCAACTACTACCCTTATTCTCCTGTTAGAGATAAGCAGCTGAGGCACAGAGAAGTCAAGTGGCCAATAAATGGGGCTACTTGGATGGCCTCAGGGCTCAGGTGGGGACTGAGAACAGCATCACACCCAGCTGCAAAGGATCGCCTGGGGTGCTGAGCAGTAAGCTCACCTCGCAGATATATGAACCCTCAGAGTAAAAAGAGACCTAGTATCATTCACCCTCAAAGTTAAAAGAGACCTAACATCATTCGATCCTCTGCTAGTGTCAGTGTAAAAACTGGTGTGAGTGCCCGGAGACAGTGATGTGGCCAGGGCCCCTCAGCAGCAGAGTCAACTAAGAACCAGGCATCCCGGTCAAGCGTCCCCACTCTGTCCTCGGGTTTCAGGTCTTCCAGAGACCGTAGACAGAACCAAGAGACAGAACCAAATGCCAAATGCCTGGAATTAAATAAAAAATTACACATGGGCAGTCATTTCCCGAGGAAAGAGCAACGGCAGTAGAATATCATCACAGCAATGAGGGACTTGCCAACCAGGTGCTCCGGGCAAGTCACTGTGCCCAAGCGCATTCCATGCATGCACTCATTTGAACCTGAACAGGAGAATGCAATGATCGGCCCCGTCCTGCAGGTGAGGAAACTGAGGCCCCGCCAAGTCAAATCACTTCCCAAGACCACACAGCTCCCAGGTGTTCAGAGCTGGGCTGGGTTAGAACTTCTGTTTCACATCTTCCCGCTCTGGCATTGCGGTGTTATCAGAACAAATCCTCTGGGAAAGATGTTTCTGACAAGATTTCCAAACAGTAGGGACGACTTTATTTCAAGGTATAGAGGATCCTGCCAACACCCAATACAGCCAAAGAATTAGACTGAGCTGTGGTCCCAGCACCTGGCCTTGACCTCCGTCTTTCTTTACTGACTCAGGCCTGGGAGTCAAAACAAGTCTGGTTTCAGTTTATTTCAACAGGCCAAGTCTCCTCTTTTCTCCAGGAAACACCCCTTCCCTTTGCTCTACAAACCCCGCCGGGAGGGCGGCTCCAGTTCTTAACTTGGCTTCCCAGAGGAAATTCCCAGCTGGTGCAGCCCGGCTCTCAAAGCCCGGGGCTGGGGCGACGTGCCTGGTGCAAGGAGCCCACAATTAGGCCGCGACCGGGATTGATTTATTGCTCTGGGATTAGATCCTCCGTTAGATGTTCAGCAGAGAGCTGAGGTCTGGCCAAGTCTCAGGCTAATTTCCCTCGGCACACTCCTGACCACACTCAGATAGCAAAGCTGCTGGACACTGGTAGGAGCAAGGGTGGGGGCGGGGCGGAGAGCACTCCTATCTGCCGAGCCCCGGCTACGTGCCAGCCTTGGGGCAAGCACTTTACAATGTGCTCGAATTCGTTCTTCACAGTGACTCTGGGAGAATGGTGCCCTAATGCTGTTAGACAGATAAGAATATTGTGGCTTAGAGAAGCGGGGGGCAGCTGCGTGCCAGAGGTGGACTCTGAATCCAGGCCACTCCAGCCCATGGACAGGGTGCGGGGGCCCTGGGACATTCAAGTCACAGATCAAGCCTCTCCTGACACAACACGGACAGGGGTCCAGAGAGGGGGAGTGACTTGCCAAGGTCATAGCCAGTCAGGGCTCCCTCACTGCACCAGCTCCTAAAGGGGGCTGGGGTCCCGGGGCTCCCTTACTCAGATTCCTCCTCTTTGGTTTCTTTCAGGCTCTCAAGGAACGTTTCTTCAAGGACATCCAGCTCCCCCAAGGGCACTCGGAGGAGGGAGCTCACGTGGCAGATGAGGACGCGGGCCCGTGCATCATAGTGTCCTGGGGAGAGAAACCGCGTGGGGGTCAGCTCAGCGTTAAGCACAGACGTGGTTTTTGGTTGTAGTTTGAAAATGGTTCCATATACTTAAGTGCTTCACCCCTAAGCAAAAATGCAGGCTATTTGCTTTCAGCCATGCCAGGATTCTTCCTACACCGTCCTATACCTCGGAAGCTCAGCCTGGGATGGCAGTTCCCACAGCCAGGCCTTTTTACAGAACTTACGCACAAGTTCTGTGAACATGAGCTTCTTCACTCTAAGCAGAAGAAACAGCATTGCAAGCACTGTGGACAGAGGTGTTAACACCGGTGTAATTCTTAAAATCCAAACCCTGGCATCCAAAGTGCACAGGCCCTCGGGAACCAGTCACCCCAACAACAGCACAGCTGCCTGGAAGGAATGCTGGACAGTCGTCTGGAGCAAGGTGACACTTCTCACCAAATGAGTAAGGGTTATTGTTGTTGTTTTTTAAATTTTCAATCCTGAAGCTGTTAGGGGTGATCAGACAGGTGCTAGAAGACAAAATGTGAGTTTCTTTTGCCTTTTCAAAATGACCCAATAATGCCGATTGATTTTATAATTGGAAAAATTAATCTACCAAAATCTATCCAAAGGCGATCTAAGCTCTGTTTACATAGCCCAGAAACTAGCAGGACTATCTTAACATCTGCTAGCCAAGTCTGGACCTCAAAGTGGTCGAGAGACATCTGTCCTATTGAAGGGGTTTCTTTCTCAGGCGGCACAATGGATGGGGTCCTACCTAGGGTGCCCCTATTTTACCAGGCGGATCCCAGGACCAGCCTAAGCTGTTAACCATGTCCCATGTGCCTTCGAGGCATATAGAACCCTGCTGAGTCTCCTCTTGGGTGCCCCACCCCAGAACACACCGCCACCCACACCAGAGACTGGAGTCTCCCTCCCCGCCCCTCACATGCAGGGTCCCAGTCTGATGGCGCCCACCTGAAAACCTCTCCCATGTCCCTTTCCCGTCTTCCATCCCCGCCTGGTCTGGGCCAGGCAAATTTTCACAGGCCTCTCTACCTCCATCTCATCTCTGCCCACAGGACCCAGCCCATGCTCAGGGCCTGAGGGTTCACCTCCACTTGCTCCCACACCAGGCTGTGGCCTCTGACTTCGGGGTTTGCAGGGGTGCCTCCCCACGTGACAGAAGGTCTCTGTGCCCTCATGGCTGAGAGGGTGGCTCACTTTTAATGGCCCTATTAAAAGTGGGCTGTGGCTCACTTGACCCCAGGGATCCAACTTTTCCTGAGATAAGCATAAATAATTCACAGCAGTGCTTTGTGCAAAGCAAGCTGTGTCAGGCCCCCATGGCTGCTGTGACAAGTCACCAGCTTGAGACAATACAGATTTATTATCTTGCAGTTCTGGGAGTCAGAAGTTCTAAAATCAAGGGTTGCAGGTTGGTTCCTTCTGGAAGGTGTAGGAAGAATCTGTCCTTGCCTCTAGCAGTTTCCAAGGCTGCTGGCCTTCCTTGATTTGTGGCCCCTTCTCTCCAGTTGCTACAGCCTTTGTATCTGTCCTCCCGACGACCCCTATTTGGCCTAGGTCCTCTGCAGGCCTCTTGGCGGCCTGGTGGTTGGGCTGTGTTTACCTGGACAACACAGGTTCACTCCCAACCTCAAGACCCGTCACTAAGTACACCGGCAGAGTCCATTTTGCCATGTAAGATGACATATGGACAGATTCCAGGTATTAGGGTGTGGACATCTTTGGGGAGTCACTATGCCTTTGAAATCTCTCAACATTTTACTTGTTTGCTTTTTACAATGTTTCCCCCGCTGAAATATAAACTTTATAAGCACAGTCTTTTTCACCGCTCTGTCCCAGTTCTAGTGCCGAGCACAAAGAACAAATATTCAATCAATGATTTGACAGAACCCAGGTAGGGATCCAACTCATGATCTAATATTGGGGAAACAGCTCATCAGTGTTGAGGTGCAAAATGGAGAGTAAGAGTCACCTCACAGAGTTTTGAGGGCCCAGTCCAGGAGAGGACTGCTGGTCCATGACAGCCCTCGGTGAATAGTACAGAACTAGACTCCACTTTTGGGTATTTGCAACGCTGGGCAATCATATTATACTAAAGTAATAGTGGTTACTACTTCAACTTCTGCATATTAAGCCAGTGGCTTCTGTGGCTTGGGGTCCTCAGGGAGCTGTGGCCTGCAGCATTTGCCCAGCTGCTGGAGGCTGTCTGGTGAGACGAGGAACTGTATACGTGCTGGGGAACAGCGTCGCGTCTTGGGGTTACTAGGTCAATGAAAACAGTGCAACAAAGAAGTTTCCAGCTCCCTCCATATCACAGGCTATTGCACCCAGGTGATAATTGAGCGGTGGAAAGGAACAATGTCTGGGCCATGATGATTAATTGGTGGCAATTATAATTAGCCACTAAAGCTTAGTCCATTGATCAAAGCTGCAGTGAGTAAGCTTTTAGGATACAGCCTGTCAGTGCACAGGTGAGTCACCTTTCAAGGTGTGTTCAGGCATGGGGCTCTGGGATGTCTGCCTGTGTAGGGGTCATCTAAGGTAGGTGGTAGGTTGTGGGGGAGGGGTGTGAGTCCTGGGGCTACCTGGGATATAGGGTTTCTCTGGTCAACTGGGCAGGTGACCAGCTCACTCCTCAAAGGTCCATGTAGCTTGTCCTGGGCTTTAGGCCAAAATCATGGGCATTGTTTTTGATTCTTCTCCTTTCCCAACTCCCACCATGGAAACCACCAGGTAGTGCTGACAACTGCACCCCAATGCATATTCTGAATCTCACCAGTGAGCCCCATCTCCATGGGCACCCAGACAGCCATCACTCCCCACCTCCATTTTCCCCAGTGCTCTTGCCCCACACTCTCTGCCACTCAGCAACCAGAGGGATTCTTAAAGCTGGAGAACTGACCATGTTCTCTCCCCCAACCGAAAACTCTCCAATGGTTTCCCGATGCACTTAGAATAAAATCCACATTTCTTCCCATGGTCCAAGAAGCTGTACATCACCAGGCCCCTTCTGCCACCCTCTCTCACCCCACGTTCAGTAGGTCTGTTACATGCACCAGCATCTGTCCTACCAAGAAGTCAAGCTCATTCCAGCCCCAGGGCCTTAGCACTTGCTGTTCCAACTAGAACACTGTCCTCAGGCAGATCTCAAATTTACTACCAGCCTCAAAAGTAGAGCAGCCCAGACCTTCATCACCCTGTCCCCTCCCCCTAGTCCTGCCATTGCTCTATGACTAGGTTTACTATCTGGTTCTCCCTCTCCACCCCTCAATGCCTGAACAAAGAAAGACCCTCAATTAGATTTCTAGTGAAGGTGTGTTGGCTCATTAACTGACTGAAGCTCTCTGGTGTGCTCAACACCTCCCGGAAACGGAGGGCCTTTGCCTGCTCCCCCTCTAGCTGAGACTCTGTTTTCAAACCCTCTGGGTCCTGCTCCTCCAGGGGACAAGGAGAGCAGGTTTACTGGTAGGGCCTTTCTTCTTCATGGGGAGAAGAGGGTTATCTCTTCAGTGTTAAATGTCAGCGGTTTGATGACACTTGGAATGCCATCCCCTGGACCTGCTCATCAGTCACTCAGTTCCTTCCTCAAGTCACTTCCTCCAAGAAGTCCTCCCTGACTCACTCACTGCTTTCTATGCCCTTACCACCTGGTTTTTTTTTTTTTATCATCATTTACAACTTGATTGTTAAATCGGCCTGCTTATTTTGCCTCCCCCTATAGCATGTAAGAGCCCCAATCGTAAGTACTTAAGCCTGTATGAGTGAAGGATGGAATTTCTGCAGAATGAATGAATGAATGAAAGAATGAACGAACTAAGAACGGATATCTGTTGGGAGAGATTCGAAGTAGGGGAGGAGGGCTATGCTGGAGGGGACTTTATCACTGCTAGTAACTATCACATCAAGCCTGGAAGCTTGTTTACCCCACTGCTCACTGTGAACCTGACCGGTGCTAACAAGTTCATTTACTAAATCCTTCCAACCACCAGGTGTGTTATCAAAGAGGAAACTGAGACAGAGAGCTTAGGTCACATGCCCTGGGTCACCCAGCTGGTGAGTGCTGTAGGGGGTGGCGCAATTGGGTGCCCCATTTTTCTCTACTGAATGGATAAACCAGTCAGTTTCCATAGCAAACTGTAAAATTTCGAGGATGCGCCATGTCCACAGTCAGCTATGTTCATGACGCCCAGGGCAGAACCCACCCTGCTGGTGGGGGGATCCTCTGCCACCAGCGCCTCGCAACAGAGAAGCTACCATTCTGTGCATTAAGGATGAGCAGCGGGCCAGAAGTGGGGCACTCAATACAGGCTGCACCCCAGGCCTGGTGGTAACAACCCCACCTCCCCCTAGGGGGCAGCACCATCTCCATTTCAAGCATGGGCCGGCCTTGCACCTCAGTAGGGCCCCATGTCCCAGAGGGGAGCTTTTCCTTGCTTTTCCTGCCAGGGCAGGATCCCAGACCTTTGGGAAGAGATCAAGGTCAATTCCTCCTCTTTGGGGACTGCCCTCCAGGCCAAAGAGAGGAAGCTGAGGCAATATGTTAGCCTTTGTTGTTCACAGACCTGGAGGTGAATTTCCTCTATACCTACCAGGTTCCTCTCTACCTGTGGTTTCAGGTAAATTTCTTGATCTCTCTAAGCCTCAGTGTTTTCATCAGTCAGATGGGACAAGACCATTTTCATCTGGCTTTTGTTGATAAAAAGATACCTGTGAGGAGTCTGGCCAGCACCTGGGATGCAGTAAGTGCTCACTAAGTGGGGCTGATCTCACTCTTTTTATGGTAAATGGTTGCATTTCTGCTCTCTGGTAAGAGACATGGGGAAGCCTGGGCTGCTGGGGTGAGGTTGTGAGCTGCCTGCTGCTGAGTTGGGACCCTTGTCTCTCCTTTCCTGTGGATCCGCCGCCCATTTGCCAGCTTTCCTAATTGCAACGTTTAGGATATCTGTCCACATCTTCATCCTGAAGATTGTTTTTTTGTTTTCCCCTTATAACGAAACCACCTGTTACTCCACTCTCATGCCACAATGCCCACTGAGGGGAACTAAGTTTAAGCATAAATGTTTTCCTTCCAGCATCTTCCCTTGTGAGGCTGCAGGGAAGAATGGGCCCCTTTATGAGGTGGAGAGAGTTGAAGTCACATTATTTTAGCTGTGGCTCCTGCCTTTTCTCCTCCCCTTTTTTCTCAAGACTTATTTTGGGAGGAAAGTTAACGCCCTTAATTTGTTGTGCTAAGGTGGCAACAGCTTAACTTCAAGACCAGGGGTCTGTTTGGAAACAGAGTCTCAGCTAGATGGGCGGCAAGAAGCCTCTTGTGAAACCTCCTCCAGTCCCACCTTGCAAGATGCTGGTGAGATCCGCTCTCCTCTGGCCCCTCCCCTTTACCCTCCACCCCCTTCCTTCTGGTCTCATCAAATCCTCTTAAAGTCAGCTGCAAGGCTGAGGGTTGTATCAATTTATTTCCAAGTGGGAGGCACCATGGCATTAAGAGTAGACTGGCTTCAACCCAGGCCTGCTCCTCCCCTTACTTTCCAGCTGTGTGACCTTGAGCAGTTATTTCATGCTCTGTGCTTCAGTTTCCCCTTTTGCAAAATGGGGAACATAAAAGCATTTTCTTCTGAGGGTCATGTGGGGTTTCAACTAATTAATCTAAAGCATTCAGCACAGGGCCTGGCACAGTGCCCGGTTTGGATAAGCGGAATGGATAAACCGGCCAGTTTCCATAGCAAGCTGTGGAATCTCGAGGCTGGGGACAGAGAACCCAGCAGCCAGTGGCAATGTTCACTTTTCACCAGGACCAGAGGCATCTTGAGTCTGGTCTACTGGGGGAGGCGGGTTTGCAATTCAGTAATAGAGTAGAGGTTAGTGTGAGGAGCAGACTGGCCTGTGTTGGGCCTTATGTACCTCAGGCTCCACGCCACATGCTCGTGCCATCTCTGGATTTGGGGTGCAAAGGCAAAAATTGGGGTGCAGCTGAAGTTTTTGGGCACCGATGCATTGACCCACAGTGAAACTCACTTTGCCTTAGATGGGATTTTGAAACTTATTTTGACATGTAGTCCTGGGCCGCTTACTTAACCGCAAGCCTCCACTTCCTCTCTGGGAAGTGGGGATAGTAGCAGCTCCCTTAGCAGTTAACCCGAGGATTATAAATGACGGGAGAATTGCCAGCTCATGGAAAGGGCCTTGGAGAGGAACTAGAATAATTTGTGATGAAGATTAGCCCCGACGAACAATCTCGTGGCTCCCCGGGAGGTGGCCAAATCCAGCAGCAGTCCTCAAGCAGGGATGGCTGGTCCCTGGAGGACATCTGGCAGTTCACGGGGACATTTCTGGCTGTCACAACACAGGAAGCACCACAGACATCTAGTGAGTAGAGGCCAGGGATGCTGCCTAAGCACCCCGAGGATCAGGACGGCCCCCACAACAAGAAGCTGCCCTGTCCAGACATTGAGAAATCCAGGTGGAGAGTTACTAGTGCAGATTCAGTTTAACCTTCAACATTTAAAAGACCTTTTTTTTTTTTTTTTCAGTTGTGTGGGCTTTGTGGGCTTTACTGAAGGAGGAGAAAATGATTAGCACCCAAAAATGATTAGCACCCACCAGCTGCCAAGATGGCAGTTTTGTGACTGAGATCCTAATACTGTTGGTAAAAGTCAACTTTCCAGGAAGTTCTTAGAAATGCAGCTTGTCATGTTGCTTTCCTGGGCTGATCCCATGATTAATCCCCTGCCTCACTGCCAGAGAGAAACCCAGCAGCACAAAGAGATGCTGCCCCATGTCTCTGTAGAGGAAGACACTAGCCCTCAGATTCACACAAACCACCTTGCTTAGTATCTAAACTCATTCTCTTAAGAAAAGACTTCCATCCATTCTTCTGTCCACCACACTTCTGTCCATCCAGCCTTCTGTCAGTCCGTCCGTCCATCCTTCCATCCATGCAGACTCTCCACCCTCCGCCCTTCCCTCCTCCCACTCTTCTGTCCACCCAGCCACTCTGTCCATCGTCCACGCACCCACCCATCACTCAGTCCTTTCACCCATGCCCTTCGGTTCTCTATCCTTTCTTCCATCCACCCACCCACCCACCCCACAAGCACTAACTGCCCATCAGTGTTGCAGTTGCTGGCTATGATGTGCTCATCAGCTTCCCTTCCTCGAACCAAAAAGACCACGGGGGTGGTGGGTACCACAGGGTTGACCGCAGGAGTGACGCCCATCACTGGCTTTGCTGGCCCCACAGGGTAGACGAGTGCCCACAACTTACGGAAGTGAGAAAAATCAACTCACCATCCTTGAGTGCGAAGCTCAGGAGGTCCTAGGGGAAAAGGTGACAGGGATTAGCGATGAGGGGAGATGCAATCAGCCCGCTCACTTGACAAATGTTTACAGAGTCTTACTCAGTGGGAGAGCAAGGCTGCCCTATACCCTAGTGAGCCAAATGTGTAAGCAGGGAAATTGATCTGTGAGCATTTCTGGGAGTGAAATGAGAGAGGGGAAGGGCTCTTTTAAATCTGCTCCCTTGCATCTCTGTCACAAGTTTCTACCTGCTTCAACTGCACAAAGAGCAGGCAAGTGACAAGCCCCAAGACACATGGCAGTGCTGCTGGTTCTAGAAAGAGGCACCACAGCTTAGCAGTAAGGAGCATGGACTCTGGAGTCAGGCTGTTCAATCCTGGCTCAGCCACTTGTCAGCTGTGTGACCTTGACCTAGTTACCAAACTTCTCTGTGCCGCAGCTTCTCATCTATAAAATGGGACTATCATATTACCTACCTTATAAAGTTACTTTAAGAATTTAATGAGCTAATATATGTAAAAGAACTAATACGTAATAAGCACTATTTAAATAATAAATCAACAGTATATGCTCAATAATGCTAATTTGACATCAGCTGTAATCACAATACATGATGATGAAATATTTTATCTTTCAATCACCTCACCCCACTAAAAGTAACTTCCAGAATGATTGCAAATCATTTATTCTACTTTCCCCAGTAGGCACCACTGAAGGACAGGGTTTGGGGGGGTACCTGGGTGATTATCATAGGGTCTTCCTTCAAGATGGGGTCCTTCAATAAAATCTGAACAAACACGTCCACTCCTTCTCCTCCAAGGCCACTGGCAAAGGCAGTCATGGTTGGCAAGACGGCTTCAGATAAGTCCAGCCACTTCACCAGGCCTGCTACAAACTCTGTGCAGAAAGAGCTGAAAGACAGGCACAGTTAAGTCCCCACAACCGCCAGGCTCTGCAAGGGCCAGCAACACATTCCCTCCTTGGAACCACCCTCTCTGATCGATGCTGTTTCTCAGCAGCAGTAATTCCCCAGCTCTTTCTGAGGTTGAAAGTGGAAAGTGTTTTAATTTGCTCTCAACCTCCCTTGCAGGGAATGCTGGGGCATGTGACTGGAGGTAATGACACAAAAGGAGAGTATCTTGGATTAGTCCAGGGTATTCCAGGAAGATTTCCTTCCTGATCAAAGACTCCAGAACCCCCCCTCCTCCTCCCTTGGGCTCTGTCTTGGGTGGGTGTGATGTGTGGAGCTGTTGCAGCCATTCTGTGATCAGGAGGGGATGGCCAGGAGGACATCAGAGAAGCCAACCCCAATGCCTTTTGAGGCACTGAATCAACTCTGGAACTAACTCTCTTTGGATTTCTTGTTAGATGAGGAAAACAAAACCCCTGTTGTTTAAATCTGTTTTAGTACAGTGTTCTAATACCTATGGCCCCAAATACGGACTGTTAAGTTCCAGTTTCAGTGTTGTCTCCACTTTACAAATGAGGAAATTTGGGTAAATAAATTAAGTTCACAGAATTAGCAAGTAATCCCTGCCATTTACTGAGAGCCTACTATGTGCTTTATTTAATGCTATAATCACTCTGTGGGGTAGGTATTATTAGCCCCATTCTACAGATGCAGAGACTGATGCCGATGGAAGTTAAGTGACCTTGCCAACGTCATATACAACTAGAAAGTGGCAGAGGTAGGATTTGAACAATGCCTGAGTCCAAAGGTATCTCTGTCCTTCTAGGATCCCCTTCCCGCCTGGACCTTTGGGGATAGTTAGTGCCTCCCTCTGCCCCTCCCACAATCTCCAACCTGTCCTCAAGTCAATTCCATTGTCTCTGAGCGAAGTCCATCTCATCAGTGCCCCCTCCACCTTTTGGTCACTGTCCTGGTTTCCCAAGACAACTGTATTCCTCCTGCCTCCAAACTCACTCATTTGTACCCCCTAGCCCCCCAGAATCCTTGAAGGCCAAAGTCTAAGCTCGTAATGCTGCTATCCTGACTCCAGATGTAGGACTTGAACACGTGCATGTGCTAGACATGGGCAAGGGCAGATAACAATGCTGTCATTTTATGCCCCCACGGCACCTGATTTATACCCATCATGTGCTTTTGACATCTATCCAGGATTGCCATCAGCACTTTGGGCACCCCTCAGTTGTAAACACTTGGAGGGCAAGAGCCAGGCTGTGCTCTTCTTTGTTTCCTCCACAGCACCTTGCACAACACCCAGCACATAGTAGGTACTCAACAAATGTATGTTGCATGAATAAATGGATTTCTCCCCCACTAGACTGTGACCCACTTGAGGGCAGGGATAGTGTCTGCCTTATTCACCTTATTCATGTGTACCTTCCTCGTACTTCAAAAGGTGCCTGGTGTGCAGCAGGCACGCAGAAAATGCTTGGTGAAGATATAAATGCGTGAGTACTGATGAGGAAAGTCTTAACCCCCTGCCAGGTTGGGAGCTCTTTGTAGTATCTGGTATTTCCTGGGAGGCTGCTTGACTGATAATAATTGTATCCCTGAAGAAGCATGACATTCCCTCATTGAGACAAAAGCACTTACCTTTCCTCAGGTTCTGGGAATAGCTGGGACAGAGAGATGGTACATAGGGCGGCATAGGCGAAGCGGTTGGCCTCCACCATATCCCGGCCTGTGGGCACACGTGGCTCCCCCTCCATGACTGGCCCAGCCCCCTGTGGTAGCGACGGGCTTGATCTGCTCCCTGTAGCCATGTCCAGCCCTGCAGGTAAAAAAAATCAGAGTGAGAAGTGCACCTGGGGGCAAGCAAAGGTTACTTACACGGGACACAAAAATCACCAACCACAAAAGGAGAGACTGATAAATTAGCCTTCATTAAAACTCACCTTTAAGAGAGTAAAAATACAGGCCATGGACTAAGGGGACATATTTGCAATAGGCATATCAACAAAGGGTTTGTATCCACAATACGTAAACAACTCTTATAATTTATCAAGAAAAACAAGGCAAATTAAAATGGATAAAAGAGTTGAAGAGATATTTCATAAAATATATAGGTCAAGCCAATCTATGCTGATAGAAGTCAGAAGAGTTACTTATGGGAGGGAATACTGAATGAGCAGGGCCACAGGGAGGCTTCGGGTGATAGAAACATTCTATATCTTGTCAAGAGATTCATTACATGGGTATTAATGTATTTAAAAATCCATTGAGCTGTATGCTTAAGATGCTGCAATCCCTGTATGCGATATTTCATGAAAGCACAGGAAGAAAGAAGGAAGGAGAGAGAGCTTATTCTTCCACTTTCCCTACTGCTCCCTTTACTTTTTCCTTCCTTCCTAGGTGGCAAATGGGGAGAAGAAGTGGGGAGGAGAGGGAAGGAAACAAAACAAGCCAAGTGGGGTGTCCAAGGACAGGAGGGCCCAAGTACAGGTTAGTCCGGGGAAGGGGGTCAGCTTTATTTATTTATTTATTTTCAAGATTTATTTATTTACACAAGCACTGGGTACAGTCAGAAGCGTGGGAGGGTGAGAGAATTCACCAGAGCCAGAGCGGGGAACAGAACAGGCAGACCGATGAAGTACAGTGCTGAGGGGAGCAGCGGGCAGCAGGAGAGGTCAGTGTACCATGTGGGACCCTTGCCTGGTGTCCGGGGATCGAACTGGCACTGCAGAGGCTGTGGGCAGCTTTGCAACCTAGTGCTCAACCGCTGCACCACCGGGGAGGCCCTAAAGACCTTTTCTTAATGTCTAAGTAAATTAAAAATAAGTATTCACCTCCACCCCAAGTTAACCAGTTAGTTAACTTCATAAACATGTACTGGCTTCCCTCTATATGAGGAGCCTTGCTGCAAACCCACAAGACCCTCCACCGTGGAGAGAGATAAAATGTATACTCCAATATTTACGGTAAGACAATTTTAAATAATGATGAGTGTTCCAAAGAAAGAGCGCCCTTAAATAATGCCCACATTTCAAGAAACAACTATGGGCCTCCTCTCTCTCTGAATCTGAAAACAGGCTGTTCAGCTTCTAGATGGTTCTTTGAAGAAATATGCAAATTGCTCTGGGTCAGCAAAGCAGAAAAACCAGTTTTTGCGTCCCTAAGATGTGGAAGGGAGGAATCTGGTGACTTGCCACTGAGGTCATTCCCCTGGGTCTCGGTCCCCTGCAGGTTCCTCTACCTGGACCCAGAAGAGCCCCGCCTCTAAGGGTGAGAACACAGTGAGAATAAGGTGGCAGCTGAAGGCTACTGCAAAGTCCAGGCCCAGGATGGATGGGGGTTATCCTGGAGTGGAGCCTGACTGCAAGGCTCAGCGATGGATCCTGTCTAGCTGTTATGTGTCACCAAAAAAATGTTATTTTTGTCTGTCATGGGAGTAGAGAGTCATTTCACAAACATGTCCTGAGCTCTGCAAGCACCCACAGTAGGTGTTTAACCAATGTTGACTGAAGTCACAAATAACACAGTGGGATTTCTTCTGGAGGAGACACAACAAAACATCAAAGTCAGGGCTAAGGAGGAAATCATACATAGTCAAAATCAACCTTGAAAATCCTTCAAGTCATCCTTAAAACTTCATGACCTAGTCCTTTTCAAGATCACATGCAAGAATGAACTGCTCTGGCTGATCTCACATGCCAGCCAGCTGTAACCTGGTTTTTTCCTAGGAATAGGCAATGAAGATCAAGGTCAAATTTGATGTGAGTGTGTGGGTGTGGGTGTGGTGGCGGTGGTGGGAGGTGGTGGGAGGTGTTCTCTTTCTCTCTTCATTGTTTCCTGGTTAACTTGTCACAGTTGAATTTTTAAATGAATCCGCAGTACAGTAAAATAAGCATTATTAGAGAAAGGGCTACAGTGTCATTGGAAGGCTGAGGACTAAGTTTTGGAGTCAAGAAGTAGGTAAGGAAGGCATTTGGCTAAGAAATCCTTTGTAACAAAAAGAACTAAAGCACTTTAGGTCAGAAACTTGGAAGATGGTAGCTCAAAGTTTTAAAACACACACACACACACACACACACACACACACACACACACACACACACACGACTGTGAGCTGGTCCCAGAAGGGAGGATCCTAGGCAGTTCCATTTACTTCCCCCATACTCACCCACCAGCATTTTAGGAGAGAAACCCCATACCTCTATCTGGAAGGTAAATTGGAAGCCAGTGGGAAAAGCAGCATCTCAGGAGGTCTCCATGGCAACAGTTCCACCAGAGAAGAACCCAGAGGCTTCTGGATAACTCCAATATATACCAGAAGAAAGAAGAGGTGTTGGCAGCAAGGGAAAGCTCCTCTCCCAACCTTGCTTCTGCAGACTGGGGGACAAGAGGGTGCCAGAGTCTCATCAGGGTGCACACCCAGGCTGCAGGGCATTTTGTCTACATTTATGGTTGCTCCCTCCTCCCCCATTAGAACCCTGGTACACACTGCCACCTCTCAGGTGGACCCCATGGTGGGCATTTCACCCATCTCCTGCCTCTTTCTTGCCCCAGCTACCCACCATACAGCATCCAGGCAGCGCCACCTTAAACTGAAGTGGGATCATGTCCCTTCTCTGATCCAAGCCTCCCAACTCCATTTTCACCCAGGCCTTATTTGTCCAATGGCATCTGGATCCAATGGCCTCTCCGCCCTCCTACTCCTTCTCCTTCACTCACTCTCCTCCAGTCACAGCCTCCTCCTTGCTGCTCCTGGATCCATCAGGCACACTCCCACCTCAAGGCCTTTGCGATGTCTGTTCCAGCTGCTGGGAATGCTGTTCCCATGGACAACCACAAGGCCAGCTCCCTTACCTCCTTCTGGTCTTTACTCAAATCTCACAGCTCAGTGAAGCTGCCCTGCCTCTAGCTTCTCACCTGACCCCCTTTGCCAGCTCTTCTGCTTGGTCCGCAGTTCCCATCCCTGTCTGACATGCTGTCATTTACTTGTCTATGTTTGTTGCTTACTGTGTCCCTCCACGTGTACACATAGTAGGCTCATTCATTCAACTCAGTTGTTGGATGAATGGTGGTTTCCACTTGGGATAACTAAAAATTAATTTGAGCCAAATTTGCCTGGACAGGGTTCCTTTGCCCGCTGATTTTCAAACTGCTGCACAGGCCCCAGGATTTGTCTTACCCTGGTGACAAAAGGAGGTACAGTAGGGAGCCCTCAAGGGCCACCTGCGAATACAATAGTAAATGAGGGAGCAGCACCACTTTTGGGTACATGTCCCAAAGAAATGAAAGCAGGGGCCTCCCCGGTAGCGCAGCGGTTGAGCGCTGGGTTGCGAAGCTGCCCGCGGCCTCTGCAGCGCCGGTTTGATCCCCGGCTGCTCCCCGGCCACCAGAGGAGGGTCCCGCATGGCGCGCAGACTTCTCCTGCCGCCCGCTGCTCCCCTCAGCAGTGTATTTCGGTCCTTCTGCCTGCTCTGCTCCCACCTCTGGCTCTGGTGAATTCTCTCGCCCTACCGCGCTTCTGACTGTACCCAGTGCATGTATAAACAAAAAACAAACAAATAAATAAAAAAAAACCCAAAAAACAAAAAAACATGCCTCTATAAAAAAAAAAAACTATTAAAAAAAAAGAAATGAAAGCAGGATCTCAGATGCCTTGCACACCCACGTGCACAGCAGCATTATTCACGACAACTAGAGGTGGAAGCAAGCCAAGTATGCATCCGTGGATAAACAAAATGCAACACATACATACAATAAGGACTATTACTTGGCTTTTCAAAAGGAAGGGCATTCTGCTATGTTACAACATGGAAGAGGACATCAGTCTAAGCGAGCAAGCCAGCCACAGAAAGACAAATTTTGCATTATTCCATTTATTTGAGGGATGGAGAGTAATGGAAATCACAGGGACTGAAGGGAGGGGACAGGGAGAGTTTGGTTTATTGGGGACAGTTTCAGGTTTAGAAGTTGGAAAGTTCTGGAGATGGGTTGTACAACAAGGGAGTATAGTTAGCACTTCTGAATCACACACTTAAAATTGGCGAGATGGTAAATTTGATGCAATGTGCATTTTATCACAATTAAATATTTGTAAGAAACTCATCACAGTAAATGAATGTTTAAACAGCAGGTGTACCAACGCCCCCTCCCATGAGCCCCTGGTGACTTTTCTTTATGAAGATTGCTGCCACCTGACAATGGGTTCCAGGTTTCTTGCCTGTGGTCTGTTTCCTACACCACAGGAAGCTCTGAGAGAGCAGAGGCCACTGCATTGTGTTCCCTGGTGTACCTTAGAACCCGCACCTGGCAGGGTAGGAGCTCAACGCCTGTGCATTGAATGAAAGCAATAATGAACAGCTACCCTACAACTGAAAAAATTTTTTCAGCATTATTTTTTGGATAAAGGACAACAGGGTTTTGCAGAAAGCAGTCTTCATATTTGCTTGAGACACTCCCAAACTTAGATGTCACTACCGAGCAGCTCTAAGCAAACTCAGATCAGTCCTGGAGGTCAGGATGGTAAGCAGGGTGCCGGCAGAAACCCCAGCAATGAGAGTAAAACTCCAGGCTGAGCTGAACTCCCACGTAGCTGCGAATGTCTTGTGGTCTGGGGTATTTGGAATGCAAGTCTGGGTTGGGCTCAGATCAGAAGATGAGGAGGTGCTAACCTGGGAAAAGGGAAAGGAGGGCCAGTCTAGAGGAGTATGTGCAAAGGCCCTGAGGAGGGAGGGAGCAGCATGTCGAAAGCACAGAGGGCGAATGATCAAGCGGTCTGAGGTGTGGCAGCAGGTGGAGCTGGGGCCCAGACAGCAGGGCCTTCTAGTGTACATTAAGGTTTTTGATCTTTACCCTAAGAGAACGGGAAGCCACAAAGGGGGCTTTTAAGAGGAGCATGTACAGCTGGATGGAGCTGGCGGCCAAGCGGCAGGTTGCTAAGTAGAAAGCGGGCTGTCCCTTCCACCTCCCTTCTGCTGCTGCAATGTTCAAGGAAGCCAGACCCCTTCTCCTCTGCAGCCTGTTTATAATGCAGAGCGTGTTTACAAAACACATGGTGAGCAACCTCCTAATGGTTCTCAGGCCCAGGTGGCTACTTCAGCCACCGAAGCATGGTGCTTCCAGGACAGGAGAGATGATTTCTCTAGGCTACAACCCTCATGGTCTTCATAGACCAAGCTACGGCGACCTACTTAGTCAACTGTGCCCATCCTATTGCTCCCGGACCTTAGACCTAAAAAGGAAAAGGGCTCCTGCACGGCCAGGCCCTGCACACGGCTTTGTGGCTCTAGGGCCTTCATCCTTACGGCAATCTAGGAGACAGATTTTACAAATGAGGAAGCTGAGGCATGGAGAGGTCACAGGGTTGTCCCAGATGACCCAGTTAGGAGGCCAGAGAGCTGGGACCTGAGCCCACACATTTGTCTGATGCTGAGCATGTGACCTCAAGGGCTGTAAAAGCTGAAATGCTGACCGAGTCACGAGCATTCTAGAGCATTCTACTCGGCTGTGAAGGGAGCCTCAGTCTCCTCCCCTGGAACTCAGTCACCCCCATCTCCGCCTCTTAGGCAGTTAACAGGTTATCAACAGGGTCACTAATGCCTCTAAATAAATACACCCTTGCTTACCCTTGACAGCCTCTGATATAGGCCACACACTGATCACCCTTTATCATTTACAAAGCAGGCTGACGTAGCGTCATCGATGCCATGAATTATTATGATACCTGTTGTCTGATAAGGAAGTGGAGGTCCAGAAAGGTGGAGTGACATACACAGCTAGGAGGTGCCAGGACCAGGTCTGGGGTTCAGGGCTTCCTTTGGACCCCTCTCTACCCTTCTAGGCCTCTCCCCAAATCCCTGGGGAGTGGGGTGAGAAAGCTCAGGCTGACAGCCGCTGGGACAAGACCCATAAGAGCTGGAGGCTGTGAAGTTTGGTCTTTAAGGCTGGGAAGGGCCCATCTGTCTCTCCTCTCTGCCCGGCAGTTCTCTCTTCTCCCCCAGAGGGAAGGGCAGTGTTTTCTTCTACTCTCTGGAGGGTACACCATGAGGGCAAAGCTTGTCTTGTTTACCGCTGGATCCTCAGCGCCTAAACATGCGCACACTGGCACACAGTAGGTGCTCAATGAATATGCGTTGAATGAATGAATGGATGCCCCCCGACGCTTAAAGGGGTTTCATGTTTTCTGCAGTGACACGAACACTGAATAACAGAGAGACACTGTGAACTCCTCCGGCGGGTTAGGCAGCGGTCTCCAGGCCCGGACCCCGTACTCCTGACTTCCTGTGTGACCCCAGAACAGGGCTGGACAGAAGGGGGGCACCGTGAAGGCCTACTCTGTGCCCGGTACCCCTCAGGTTCCAGGTTCTTCTCCTGTTCTCCTTCCTCAGCGGGTGGTCTTGGGGAAGCCCCTTCACCTCCCTGAGGTGGCGTTTACCTCGCTATAAAATCCACCCCAAAGCTCGGAGCAATGACTCTTCCCGCCAATAACCGGAGGCAGAGCGAGGAGCTGGCCCGCCTGTGACTGGGGCCCAGACTTTTTCCCAGCGGGCGTTCCCTGCCCGTTCCCAGCCCGCTCCCAGCCCGTCCCGGCCCCTCTGTGGAATTCAGCGCGCTGGGAGGGCGCCGGGCTGAGGAGCGGGAGAGGGGAAGGGGGCGCGGCAGGCCTTCCTCACCGCGACGCCAGGGCCACGTGGGGCAAGAGGCACCCCGCGACCCTGTGTGACCTCGGGCTCTCTCACTTATCAGGGGAAGGAGCGGGTGGCCTCGCGGGTCCAGAGTCCCGGGCGGAGAGGCAGGAAACGTCTGAGTGCCCGGCCGGGCCTCAGTTTCTCCGCCCGCCGCCCGCGCTGCCTTCTCAGGGCACTTCCGGCCCCGCCCGGCAGCCCGGCTCCCCGCCTTTGGCGCTGGGGGCGCGGCGGGCGCCCCGGGGAGCCAGCGGGGTTGGGGGGGAGCCAGGCGGAGTTCGGGGGGGAGCCAGGCGGGCGGGCCTCCCCGCGGGGCGGACGGCGGGCGGCGGCGCGGCGGGCCCCGGCCCCTTACCTGGCGGCGGCGGCGTTGGCGACCGAGGCGACTCCTCCCGCCCGGCCCCTCCCGCCCGGCCGCCGGGCTGGCCCCGCCGGTCCCGCCGCCCGCGCAGCCCGCCCCCCGCGCCGGGGCTTCCGGGCTGGGCTGCGCCGGGCCCCGGGTGCCGGCGTCAGGAAGCGGCGGGGACTCGGCCTGGGGGTGGCCCAGCCCCGGAGGCCGCGCGCGCGGGCCCGGCCGGGTGTCACCCTGCGGGAGGCGCGGGGCTCCGTCCCGAGTGGCGGGCGAAGGGCCACGTAGGTGGAAAGTTTCAAAAGTAAATTATGCAAAAGCAAAGAACCGGCCGCAGGAACCGCCCTCCGTGAAGTCTGTGCAGAACTCTGAGGTTGCAGAGTGCTGAGACCTCCGTCTCTCCCCGAGTTCTCGCTAACGCCCGGCTGGGCCCATGCTCAGGCCTCTGGTGTGAGGGTCGCCACTGGCACCCCGCCCCAGGCCTCCTCTTCCTGCCTCTGCTTCCAGCTTTCCACTCTGGACTCCATTCAGGTGACATCTGCCGGGTTTTCCCTGAACACCCAGCACTTTCAGTCACTGGGCAAATGTTTACTGAGCACCTACTGTGTGTCAGGTACTGGCCTAAGTGTGGGGGAATCCCAGCCCAGATTCCCATTCTGTCTTAATTGCAGCATTGATCACTCTACGGAATTATTTTGGTCTTTTTTACCTGTTTACAATTTGGTGTCTGCCATCTCCCCTAGAATTTAAAAGCCAGGGAAGCCGGAGTCTTGGCTGACTATCCTCTGCTGAGTGTCTACAATCTGGTAGGGGCTCAGAATCATTCAGTGAGTGCATGAATGGATCTTACTCCCCTAGCAGCCCTGTGCAGTATTACCACATCTGTTCTACAGGATGAAAGATTGGGGCTCAGGCCCAGCCATGCAGAAGCCACAGAGCTAATGCGTGCCAGAGTCAGAGCAGGAATCGTGGTGGCCGCGAGGCTGTTGCTCTTTCTCCTGGTGAAGACAGCCCAGATTATGAATGAAAAAGGCACTGCACGGGTCAGGGACAAGCTTGGCGTGCACAGCCTGTGACTCATGCCCCATGTGGAATGCCCTTGGTCTGATCTTATCATCCCACTGGCCAGTTGGGACCGAGAAGAGCAGCTCTACCTACCTTTAGGTCAAATGGGTCCCTAGTGTGTGCCTTCCAGGGTCACCTGGGTTTATATCTGAGCTTTGGGCCCTATCAAGGTGGACTATTAATAACCATATGAAAGTGAATGGCAATTGAAAGCTTCCAGCCAGCTCTTCTGTTCAATGTCTAGTGGCCCTGCCCAGCCAGACTGGCTATAAGGGACTCTGTGCAATGACTGCACCCTGTCTCTAATCCAGTTGGAGACCCTGTGCTGAGCGTTCTTGCCTCTGGTCTTAGTTGCAGTTACAGCTGTGCCCTCCCCCAAGTCACCCCCATGGAACAGCACCCAGGACTTAATCCCACAATCAAGGCTACAGGTAGGAAAGGTGGAGAAAACCCCCTATTGGTGTTGTCTTTGGAAAAGTGTTTGCCTTTTGAGCTTTGGTATTGGACACTGAAGAATTTTCCTAATATTTAAAATGAGAGCGATTTATGGCTCCCGCAACCTTTAAGGGCTATTGTGAGGATTAAATGAATAGATAGAGGGAAAGTGCTTTGAATAGCACACTCAAAAGTTAGCTGCTTTTATTCTTGGTGAAGGGTACTTCCACTGGATGTGAGGGCGATCTGGCTGCCACGTCTGCCACCCCAGTGATTGCCAGGGTTGGTTTGACTGATTTGCCTGGCTGCTTCATGAGTGTCCCTCTTGTACCCAGGCCTGGGCTCCTGGGTCCTGCCCCAGACCCACCCAGTTTAGAATTTCTTGGAGGTATGGATACTCAGGAGTTTATGTATTCTAAACAAGTTCCCCTGGTGATTCTGATCACTAATCAGATTTGGAACAACTGAGCGAGTGGATTTGATTATCCCCAGAAATTATAGAAGAAGTGTAAATACTGTTTAGGGAGTGTTATCCTTGTGGCTGGCTCTGTGTGTCAATACGACTTTATTTCATTTAATCCTATGGGCACTCTTGCTAATAATAGCATACTATTATTTTTTAAAAAGATTTTATTCATATGTAAAAGAACTGGGGTAGGGCCTCCCCTGGTGGCGCAGAGGTTGAGCGCTGGGTTGCGAAGCTACCCGCAGCCTCTGCGGCGCCGGTTCGATCCCCGGCTGCTCCCCGGCCACTGGAGGAGGGTCCCACATGGTGCGCAGACCTCTCCTGCCGCCCGCTGCTCCCCTCAGCAGTGTACTTCGGTCCTTCTGCCTGCTCTGCTCCCCGCTCTGGCTCTGGTGAATCCTCTCACCCTCCCGCGCTTCTGATTGTACCCAGTGCTTGTATAAATTAATAAATAAATAAAATAAAAATAAATAAAAAAAAAAAGAAGACATAGTATTTAAAAAAAAAAATAAAAAAATAAAAGAACTGGGGTATAGGCCAGAGGTGTGGGAGGTGAGAGGAGTCATCAGAGACAGAGTGGGGAGCAGAACAGGTGGATTGACTGAAATACACTGCTAAGGGGAGCATCGGGCGAGACAGGAGAGGTCTGCTGCGCCATGTGGGTCACCACCCTGGCTGGGGATCGAACTTGTGCTGCAGTGGCTGCAGATGGCTTCATGGTGCTGCATCTTAACCCTTTGGGCTACCAGGGAGGCCCCAAGAGCATACTATTATTAGTCCCATTTCACAGAGATGGCAACGAAGGCTCGGAAGTTGAAATAAGTTGACCAGGGTCATTGAGCTGCCAAGAGCCAAGTTCTGATTCTAGGTCTGGCTGATTCTGCTCTCCTGCCCTCCTCCAGGCATCAATACGATTACTTAGATAAGTTGTTCATAATGGATCTCCTTAGGGAGAAGGGTCCTTCGCTATGTCCCATTGATGTCTGTCCTTCTAGGATGTAGGTGATTCTAACCTGGCATGGATGTCTATTGAAAGAAACTGAGTTCTGGGGGTGATGTCACTGAAGGCAGCTTCGGTGTCTTCCTGTAGAGTATCCTACTGATGCCTCCTGTTAAACTTGAGACTGAATGAGTGAGTGTTGTTATGGCCACTTCTTAACGACACTCCCAAAGGGAGGGACTGGACACACCTTTGAAGTAAGGCCCAGGCAAGGGAAGGATGCTGTGTATGGTTTGTGGTTACCATAAACGCATACATTGCCCAACCAGCGCTTGAGTGTTTCTAAGGCCTCTTTGACCCAAAAAACTGAACATCTTTCTGTTGTTGGAACTGGAATTGCCCAAGTTAGGTGGCAGGGGTTGTGATTAAAGTCACTTGAACTAATATTTTTCCCCACTGTCCTTGCATGTTAAGTAATCATTTTGTAATTTTCTGCCTTTTCTCTTACACGGATGCTTGGATGGCAAGCTCTCTGCTTCTTCTCTAAGAATGCTTTACACTTGCCCCTGTCTGACATTTTCTTTCTTTTCTTTTCTTTAAAGATTTATTTACTCATGCACACAAGAACTGGTGTATAGGCCAGAGGTGTGGGGAGTGAGAGGATTCACCAGAGACAGAGTGGGAAACAGAACAGGCTGATTGACTGAAATACACTGCTGAGGGGAGCAGCGGGTGATACAGGAGAGGTCTGCTGTGCCGTGTGGGTCAGCTCTCTGGCTGGTGATCGAACTAGTGGTGGGCGATAGCTTCATAGTGCTGCGTCTTAACCCCTTGCGCCACCAGGGAGGCCCCTGGTCTGACATTTTCTAATACATGAGCCCCATATCACTGGTGGTATAGGAGAGACTTTGAGTTGGTGCATGAACTTGATTAAATCACCATGGATGGCACATGAAGTTCAATCTCCATTCTATTGAGAACACAGTTTGATGCTAATTAAATATTTTTTTGAGTTGTAATTTTTATTTATTTCTTATAAACTACTAATTCGAGGCCATTAATTAAACTGAAAATTAAGCCATTTTCTTTATGATGTACAGTTTCAGTCAAAAAGTAAATTGTACACACGCATACATTTATATGTGTATATATGTACATTGGGCTTTATTGAGCTATCTTCGGCCTGTAAAATTGTATATTTAAGGTGTAAAATCTGAAGCTGTGATGTATGTACATCTTGTGAAAAGATCACCCCAGTCACACGAAATGACTTCATCCATCACCCTGACATAATTATCATTTGTGTGTACTGTGAGTGTGAGAAGATTTCCTCTAAGACCTACCCTTGTGGCAAATGTCCTGTATCTTAGCACCTGGGCGTTTGATTCCCAGAACTCTTCATCTTGCATAACTGAAACTTTGTACCCTTTGGCCAACAGCTCCCCATTTTTCTCTCTTCCCTCCCCCAGCCCTGGCAACCTGGCTCCACAGTCTGCTTCTCTGAGTCTGATTATTTTGGAGCCCGCTCAGAGGTGAACTCATGCAGTATTTGCTTTTTGTGACGGCTTATTTCGCTCAGCCTAATGTCCTCCAGGTTCACCCCTGCTGTTGTAAGTGGAAGTATTTCCTTCCCTTTCAAGGCTGAATAATGTTGTGTTGTTCTCCGCCAGCGTTTGCCCATGTCCTTTCCAATGAAGGAAGGACAGTCCTCACCTGAGCCTTCTGCGTCCCAAAATATTGAGTTGGGATCTAATCATTTTGTTATTTAATGAGCTTTTTTTTTTTAAGATTTTATTTATTTATTTTATTTTTTATATTTTTAAAAGATTTATATATTTATTTTATACAAGAACTGGGGTATAGGTCAGAAGCGCGAGAGGGTAAGAGAATTCACCAGAGCCAGAGCGGGGAGCAGAACAGGCAGATGGACCAAAGACACTGCTGAGGGGAGCAGCGGGTGAGGCAGGAGAGGTCTGCTGCGCCATGTGGGGTTCTCCCTGGCAGGCGGGGAATAGAACCGGCGCTGCAGAGACTGCGGACAGCTTCGTAACGCAGCGCTCAACCGCTGCACCACCGGAGAGGCCCAAGATTTATTTTATTTATTTATACATACAAGAGCTGGGGTGTAGGCCAGAGGTGCGGGGGGTGAGAGGATTCACCAGAGACAGAGTGGGGAGCTGAATAGGCAGATCTACTGAAATACACTGCTGCGGGGAGCAGTGGACGAGACAAGAGAGGTCTGCTGCGCCACATGGGTAGCTCCCTGGCCAGGGATCGAACTCGTGCTGTCGACAGCTTCATAGAACTGAGACCTAACCCCTTGTGCTACCAGGAGGTCCTTTTAATGAACTTTTGATTTTAGATTCACAGAAAAGTTACAAAGACATTACAGAGTTCTCATGCAAGAACCATATATCTTTACCCTATTATTTCCCCAGTCTTAGCGTCATTATATAACCTTGGTACATTTGTCGAGACTAAGAATCCAACACGGGTACATCACTGCTAAGACTATTCCCCGAGTTTTCCACTGACATCCTCTTCTCATCCCAGAATCCAGTTCAAGGTGCGCTTAATGTTATTTCTTTTTGCTCACAGTGTCATTTTATATCTTTTTATTACTTTCTGCAATGAAAAATTCTTCTTTTTTTAATAACCATGATATATTTCCTTTTAAAACATTAAGTAGAAGCAAGTGAGATGGTTAAAAACAGCAGCAAGAATGAAATTGCTGTGCAGATATGGTCCAAATTCTCAGTCTCCTCTGGGCTGACTTTACCTGTAGGGACATTCTTCTCTGGGCCTGGTAAGGTGGTCACCAGTCAGACTGGCCTGTGTCACTAATTATTTGAATGTGTGTTTCTGTCAGGATGTCTGGTGTAGAGGATTGTGGGCCACAGTCACACATGGACAATTTATGGAGCATAATCCCCAGAGGCAGGGGCCCCAGGGCAGGGGCCTCAGTAGCTCAGTGATGTCGGCTAGGACCTACTCTCCATCTTCATAATGCTCAGCCTGTTGACTGTTGAACTTCACTGTGGTCCCAAGATGGCTCCCTCCCTCAAGCACCCTTCAGCCTTTCCTCCCGGGCTTCTTTCCCATGGTCAAGGTGGGAATGATTTCCTGAAACCCTCTTGCGGGGCTTCATGATCCTTATTTGGATCACATGACCATCCCTGACTGCAAGGGACTCTGGGAAAGGCAAGGATCTGGCAAAGGAGACTGGTTCAGACTCCCACGGGCAGGGACAGGCTAACATCAGTGGAGCTTAGGACAAGTGCACAAATGATGAATAAAACATGGCCTAACCTTCAACCCTGCAAGTACATCTCTGTATCTGCACCTGGATGGGGATGGCTTGAGGCCGGCCAGAGTGGGGACTTCTAAATTCACACCTGGAAGATCAGGTGCGATCTTCCCTGCCCTCCCTGACAAATCCCTGACTCAGGTCAGTACCCTGCTCAGTACCTGGTACAGGACAGACCCTCAAGAAAGTTTGTTGAATAAATGCATGGGTGGATCCTAGATTCCGCCGTGTTCTGAATTCACTCAAGAAATAGTCCCCCTTTGTAAAAATGTGATTTCAAGATACTCAGATCGGAACATAAAGTTTGTAAGAACAGCTCCCGGCAGAGTCAAGGTTCCGGGTCTGATTTCTCCTTGGGTGCGCTCTCTACTGTTCCCACAGCCTCAGAAATGGCAAGCTCGCCCTTCATTCCTCTGCCATAAAGACCTAATTGTTCTAGCAAAGACTGCAACACTTCCTCCAGCCTTTGAAATGAGGTTCCAGGAATGAACAGGGGCTGTAAGGTGAGATGAGGAAGTGGCTGCATCTAACGGGGCAGGTGCACTTCCACAACCTTTCACCTCAGGTCCCCACAAAATCAAGAAGCTAAAGTCAAATGGGGGGACTCTATCTCTGCTTAATTCTCTGCCCTATGACCTGGGGGCTCCCATACCTTGAGCCAGAAACGCTCCATCTGACCCAGCAAAGTGACTCAAAGTCCAAAATCTGGAGCCTATACCTGGCTCCCCCACTGCCTTGCTGTGTTATCTCGAGCAAGTTACTTAACCTTTTGTGCCTCGGCATCCTTGTTGGTAACTTATAGCAGATGTAATAATATTGTAATAGACTTTGCATGATGCATTCGAATGACGTTGACAATTATTGTTTTATTGTGCTGTTGTTGAGGGCACTGCTGATGCTGAGACTCACAATAAAGGAGATAGATTCTAGTGCCCTGTTCTCATAAAATTCCAGGAAGATTATCAGGAAGACTAAATAGAATGAGTCTGTTCTTATCAATCCTATTAGGGCTTTCTAGAATTCAACTATCCCTCTCCCTCTCCTGTCTTCTCCCTCCCTTCTTTACCTCCTTATGATTTCAAAGTACCCAACCATGGATTATCTTATGAGCTCCCCCAGCAGCCCTGTGATATTTGTATTATAACCTTTGTTTCGTGGGCTGAGAAAACAGACTCAGGGAGACAGATCACTTGTCAGTGGGGAAGCAGCTATTCAAGCCAGCTATGCTTGACTCCAAGGGCTCAGTGAGAGAGAAGGATCTGATGGGATTTCTTTAGAATTACCCCCTGCCCCAGGGTCTAAGTTCTCAACCATGGGCTGCCCTGGACAATGCTCCACTCTGGGCTGGCTTTTCCACCCATCATCGAGGCTGGTCTCTAACAATCTGAATAGGCCCAAGGAACCCATTCACCCAATGGGGTCAATGATGGACAATAAAGGCAGCCATCAGGACATGGGGTTCCCATCTAGCAGCACTCTGGATCCTCATGAAAGCCCTTGGAGGTGTGACTTCATCCCCCACTTTACAAATGAACAAACTGAGAATCAGAGAAGTTCTGTAACTTCCGGTCTCACCCCTGGTCAGAGCTCAGTGTTGAGCCCCAGCCTGCTGCTCTGATTTCTTTCATTCACATCCCTTTGTGGCCTCCTGGTGGAGGTCTAGGAACAAGATGGAATGGAGTGGACGGGGGTGGGGAGAGAATGTTCTTTCCCTCCTACTGGCAACCACCCCAATGTGCATATGCCCGAGGCCAGCTCAGGAAATGCTGAACAGTTCCTGTCGTTATGCATCCTGGGGGGACAGGGTGTTCCTTAGGCCACTTGCCTTGATTTAAAAGGGTGGGTGCATGCATGCCCACCCACCCACACTCACTCTCACTGCCAGGAGTTAATAAGCTCAGTGGCCTGAGTCACAGAGTTGCCCTGGAAGTACCTTAAAAGAACAGCGACAGAAGGCACCAGAATTCCAGGACAGCTAATTGCATACATACTTATATTTTGACTTTTCTTTGTGTGAATCCACAGGGCATGTCACCATGTCCATGGTCCTGGGTTTCAGGGGTCTTAAGAATAATCCAGTCCTACTAGTTCATGTTGGAGAACCAGAAGCTCAGAGAGAGGCAAAAGCCCTTGCCAACAACATAGCACCCCTGGGCCAGGGTTACCCTGTGTCCCAGCCCAGAGTTCTCTCACCCCTCCCAGACCCAGGCCAGCCACCCCACCATGGCCTCCTGATCATGCAGGCTGCAGATGAGGCCTCCGGGGACAGCAGTGGCCTTGCAGCACATCGGACAGGTGATGGACCTGGTGTCGTCCATCGGCAACTGTCATCCTACCAGGAGGAAAGACAGGGTGGGAAAAAATAATGAAGCGTGTTCGGTGAGCCCCTCTGGGGTTTCAAGTCTGCTCCTAATTGTGGGGCCTGTGGAAGATAATAACATGTCACCTGCCACCTCCCCCTCACTCTCCTCACCCCTGCAGACCCCCCGATGGGGCTTGACCTCCACCCCCCCCTCCCCGCAATCTCAGAAGGCCATCCCTCATCCCTTCGATCCTTTTGGAGCCTCCTCTTTGAGCAGAAATGGTCGCGGGAAGACACAAAAGCATTTGAAGTGACGGTTGACTCTTGGGGCAAGGTTGGAAACGCAGGCTGATTGGAGAGATCCCTTGCATTATAGGGCCTCTTATCTTTATGACAAAAGCACAACTAGGAATCGAGAAGCAGCTAAAAAAAAAAAAAGCAATACCCAATCAGGTGGCTAGCTGGGCCACTATTGGGGGGTGTCCTTGCCAGCTGGGAGTCTGTTAAGTCAGGGCCCAATGGCATGGAGCTGGGGACCCTAGATGGGAGCCATCCCCAGACTCATCTGCTTCCTCTCCACCTGCCCCTCTACTACTTGTGGGGCACCTGGCTGGAGGAGAGAAGTACCTCTCCTCCACACAAGCTTTCTCCATCCCTGGGGCGATGTCATGGGAGACCCAAACCACCAGGACCTTTGGTGAGGTTGGGGGGGGGTGGGGTTGAGGGGGGCAGCACCGGGGTGAACACAGGAGGACTTCGTGTCATCTCCAACTTCCCTGAAGGGAAGATTGTAACAGCCAGAAGGATGAACCAACTGCCCTGAACACAGAAAACCGGACCAAAAACAAGCAAGGAAATAAAACTAACGATATAAATTACCAAAAAAAAAAAAAAAAAAAAAAAGGATTCCTGCTTATATTTGTTCTGCAATAAGGTTGATATTGCAACACTTTCATCAGGTCATAGAAAGCAAAGCCAGGAGCTCTGAAATAAGAGGATCCAGAGACCCCTGTAGCATTCAAATAATTTGTGCCTCCTTCCCCACCTGCCCCAGCTCTGTCTGCTGCCGAGCAGGCTGGCCTGGGTGGGGACAAGTCCGCCATCCAGCACAGTTCTCTGCATGGGCTGTCTTGATCCAGGACAGTCACTCTGGCTTTGGCTGGCAAGTCCACTGGCATTTATCTCCCAAGGGAGCCAGTCTTAGTTCACAGCCCTTTATCCGGTTCACTGTGAGAGGAATGGGGTGCAAGAGGCAGGAGGCGCGGTAGGCTCTGTCCGGTCTGAGGGTCTCAGGCAATGGAAGAGACCTCGCTGGGTTTCTGCTCTCTGTGGAGGACAGTCCTGGGGGCAGGCCAGCAGCTGCCCTGACTGCAGGAGTGACAGCAGAAGAGGCTGGACATCAGCAGGGCCAGGGCGATGATGAGGGTGAGTACCCACTGGGTGGCACCGGGGTAGATGAAGGGCAAGATGAGCATGATGAGCAAGACCAGCAGGAGCAGGTGAGCTGCCAGGCGCCGGGCCGCCATGCGGTTAGCACTCACTAGGTCCTGCCCATCCTCTCCTGCCAAGCTGGGGTGTCCTGCTGCTAGGGTGGCAGAATCCACCAGCCCCTGGGGACAGAGTTGCACCTCTGGGTGTGACCAGGCCAGCCACCCCACCATGGCCTCCTGGTCACGCAGGCTGCAGATGAGGCCTCCGGGGACAGCGGTGGTCTTGCGGCATAGCGGACAGGTGATGGACCAGGTGTCGTTCTGCACGCATAGCAGGAGCTTCAGGCAGACGGCACAGAAGGAGTGCTGGCAGCCCAGCAGCTTGGGTGGCCGGGCACCACTGTAGGGCTCCCGGCACACCAGGCATTCCAGGTCGCCCTCGGAGAAGCCATGCTGAGCTCCTGGCGGGCCCGTGGTGGCGGCGTCAGGGCTGGGCTGGGGCCATGGTGGGGCTGGCTGCAGTGGGGCCTCAGTGCTGGCCATGGTAGGCATGGGAGCCAGTGGGACACCGCAGCTCTCAGGGTGTCAGCTGGGGCCCTGGGGCCTGGGTGGTCTGACCTTAGGGCTGGGAGTCTCGAGCCTGGCTTTCCTCCTGGCCTGTTGTCCGGCACCACTCTCCCGGGCTGCTCCACTTGTTTCTGGGCTTACATCGCCCTTTCAGTTATTATTATTTCTTTCCTTGAAGTTAATCAGTAACTTGTGGGCCGGGAGACTTTGAATTGCCTGATAGAAGGGCCCAAGGGGGCAGGGCCTCGGTGGGAATCAGGACTTTCCTGTTGGGGCTAGGTGCCTCACAGCCACCCACAGGACCTGAGCTTTGGGATGCATTAGAATCCCCACCGTGCCCACCACCCCAGCCCTGAAGTCTTTCACAAGACAGATTTCTAGATCTCGAAGTCAAAGACTGAGTTTGCAGGTCGGGGTGAGGGCTGACAATCTACCTGCACTGCTAACAAACATCTTCACGATCTAAGCACAAGCAAACAGGGGTACCCCTCTGAGAAAGACCACCATAGTGGGTCTCAGACAAAGCCGGCTGGATGTCAGTTTCCACAGGAAAAAAGCTTGTGCTTTGGGTGCATTTGCAGGCAGGAGGCCTTGTGAAGAAGGGAGAAGTGCCAAGGAAGTATTTGGAAATCACAGAAACACCATATACTGGACACCTGTTACTGTAGTCGGTTCCTTTATTGTCCAAGAGTTGTGTTAACAGTTGCTGACACTCAGCATCATCAGGCCCTCTGCGCACTTCACATGCCTACTCAGGCACCGCTCGCTGTGTTCTGGGCACAGCATATACCTGCCAGTAACAAGAGAGGCTGCTATTTATTTGGGCCCACTTTGAGCCAAGGCCTGATCCAGGGTTCCCCCTCTGCCATCCCCTGGGATCCTGGCCTGGAAGGCAGAGGCAGGTGTGGCCAGGGCAGGCCCACTGGCTGCCGGCCTAGGGGCTTCCCCTCAAAACTGATAGAATTTACCAGCATCCAAGGTCAGCTTCCCAGGCTTGTGGGGTCACATTTACGTTCACATGGAGGCAAGTGGCCTCCCTAGCTGACTCCAGCTAACAGGGTCTATGTGGGGCACAGATACAGTAGCAAACATGACCCCATGGGCCTCGGGCTGAGTGTTAGAGTAGAGGTGGCATAATCTACCTTCTCAAAAAAATGCCTCACTCAGGCCACCTCAAATCCAGAAAGATGTGCTGAGCGAGCCTCCTGCTTGTGTCACCTGCTGAGGTCCATGGAGTGTCAGGTGACTGATTTAGCCTCCCCAAGGGCAGGTATTGCACTCTTTCCCAGTGTCCCCTGGTCTCCCTAGTCCTCTGTCTCTGAAACCCAGCGCCCCTGCCCACCCTGCTGACACCTTTCTTCTCTTCAGTCTTCAGTTAGACAGTTATTTCTTTTCAGCTGGTCCTTCCTCAGATGGAGCTGAGGGAGCCTCAGTTCTGGTGCTGGTCATCGCTCTCCTCCCCAAGCCCGTCACTGGATTCTCTTTTGACAGTGGTCTGCTTTCCTTTCAAGCAACTGCTGTTTTTCATTGTCATTCTCTGTGTCATTCTGTCATTCTCTTTGTAGAAGTCTGTGGAAGGGGGAGGTGATGTGACTCAGGGCAGGCCAATCAGCATGTCCCATCCCACTGGCTGCAACGGTTGGTTGGGACACAGGCATGTGATCTAAGCCAAACCAATGAGAGTCAATTCCGAGACTGCGGTTGGAACTACTGGGAAGTGTCTCTTACTGCTGGATTTCAAAACTAAAGGATGGAACTCTGGAGCTTCCAGGACCAGAGTGTGCTCAGACTTTGCCCAAGAGTATGGTCAGCACAAAAGAAAGATGAGAAGAGAGTCAGAAAAAGGCCTGATGACATTGTTTAGATGCCTGGATCCAGCCAGGCCTGAAGCCAGAGATCTATCTTTTAATGTTTTAGTTATAACCGCCTATGGAATCCACTCCAGTTTTTATTCTTAAGCCAGCTTGAGTTGGATTGGTGTCCCTTGCAAAGGAAAGAGTAACAGCAATAGATGAAAAGATGCTCTAAATTTCTGTGACACAGGGTCACAGAAATCGCCCTGTACATGGTCCAGAGTGAATGAATGCCTGTGTGTTACTATGTTAAGGAGATGCTGTCTTTTTTCTTCTTTGACTTGTATCATAGAAGTTGCTAGACCCTAGGCAGGGTCTTTTCTGTTTGCTAGACTTTAGGAAGGGTTGGGGTTAGGAGGAAAACAATTTTTTTTGAAATGCACTCATTTATAATAGAGATGGAAAATCAGTTGGACAACTCGGTGATGACAGCTTGGCCAATGCCCTCTCTCTGCTAGCTAAATAATCAGGGAGGTAGCTGGGTGAGGTTGAAATCAGATCAAGGGAAATTATTTGGGGGTTTGTGTCTAAAGAATAACCTTTTGATGTTGTTGGCCAACCACCATTAAGAAAAACATATCAGTTATGGGCCTTCCCGGTGGCGCAGCGGTGGAGCGCTGGGTTGCGAAGCTGCCCGCAGCCTCTGCAGAGCCGGTTCGATCCCCGGCTGCTCCCCGGCCACTGGAGGAGGGTCCCACATGGCGCGCAGACCTCTCCTGCCGCCCGCTGCTCCCCTCAGCAGTGTACTTCGGTCCTTCTGCCTGCTCTGCTCCCTGCTCTGGCTCTGGTGAATTCTCTCACCCTCCCGCGCTTCTGACTGTACCCAGTGCTTGTGTAAATAAATAAATAAATAAATCTTTAAAAAAAAAACAAAAAAAAAAACATATCAGTTATAACCATCCAAATATTACAGTAATGTATAAAGTGGAACATGAAGTTCCTTTGACTACCACCCTGAAAAATGAGGACTTTCAGTATGCCTTCCTCCATGATGTCCCAACCTACCTCCTCGGCTGTGGAGCCCCTTTGGAAACTGTCATGACTTAACTATCATCTACACCCACCTTATAGTTGGGGATCTGGTGCCTGTCATTTTACTAACTAACTTTGGCACGTCATTTCAACTTCATCAAGGCTTAGTCTTTTTAATTTGTTACAACAGAAAAAATAACACTGTAGGAAATTATGGGGGCATGACTGAAGCTCCTACTTCCATCCAAACCAATTCAGGGGGAGACTCCGGCATTGACATACCTTGCTTAGTAACTGACCTCGAAGTAATTGATCTCACCCAGGGGTAAGGAGATAAGACATTTTGGTGCTGAGTGCTGTCAGCGCTTCCTAAAGAGGAGTGATCGCAGGCAGGATCGGGCCTGCAGCAGATCTATCCCAGGAAGCACATCATGTCTTCGGAGCCTCAAATGGTAAATTTATGTGACTCTCTCATCCTCCTCCTTGCTCTGTTTGTACTTTCTGTCATATTAGAACTTGCAAATGTAGTCCTTTGAAATCCTCAAAGAATTACATACGTCTTTTTTAAAATTACTGTACAGATAGGAGCTCATTAATTTTTTTTTTAAAGATACACTTTTTTTTTCCAAATGTTTTTTCTTTTTAATATTTATTTATTTATTTATTCATACAAACACTGGGTACAGGCAGAAGCGCGGGAGGGTGAGAGAATTCACCAGAGTCAGAGCAGGATGCAGAACAGGCAGAAGGACCGAAGTACACTGCTGAGGGGAGCAGCGGGCGGCAGGAGAGGTCTGCGCGCCATGTGGGACCCTCCTCTGGTGGCCGGGGAGCAGCCGGGGATCGAACCGGCACTGCAGAGGCTGCGGGCAGCCTCGCAACCCCGCGCTCAACCGCTGCGCCACCGGGGAAGCCCTAGGAGCTCATTAATTCTTAATAAAAAAAAAATTTCCCGGGACCTCCCTGGTGGTGCAAGAGGTTAAGACACAACCTATGAGGCCGTCCACAGCCATTGCAGCACGAGTTCGATTCCCAGCCAGGGAGCTGCCCACATGGCGCAGCGGACCTCTCCTGACTCGCCCGCTGCTCCCCTCAGCAGTGTATTTCAGTCAATCTGCTTGCTCTGCTCCCCTCTCTGTCTCTGGTGAATCCTCTCACCCCCACACCTCTAACCTGTACCCCAGTTCTTGTATGCATAAATAAATAAATCTTTAAAAAAAAATTTCCCTTTGAAATAATTTCTTGCATTCCACGACTTCACTCAGTCCTGGGGTTATAAGGAGTGGGGAGAAGCACAGCCTTAAGCGAGGTTAGAATTTTAGGACCAGCCATGAATAGGGAAACCACAGGGAGTTCTGAGGGACTGCCAGGGCACTCCGTGCAGGTAAGCACATAGCCACACCCTGCAAAGGCTTTCTGAACTGAGCTCTAGGCCAAGTATCAAGTTCACTGGCAAAGGAGTGAGAGAGCGGTGACATCATGAGGTTGAACTGTCTGATCCCCCGCTGGCCTCTGATCTTGGTCAGCCCACCCCCACCCCATACTCCAGAGGCCACATTGCTTTTCTATTCCCTTCCTTCTGGCCTGGCTGGTGTCTTAGCTCACACTCTTCTTTCAGAACTCCTGCCTCCACGCCTTCAAAGATCTTTGTTCTGGGGCCTCCCCGGTGGCGCAGCGGTTGAGCGCTGGTTTGCGAAGCTGCCCGCGGCCGGTTCGATCCCCGGCTGCTCCCCGGCCACCGGAGGAGGGTCCCACATGGCGCGCAGACCTCTCCTGCCGCCCGCTGCTCCCCTCAGCAGTGTACTTCGGTCCTTCTGCCTGCTCTGCTCCCCGCTCTGGCTCTGGTGAATTCTCTCACCCTCCCGCGCTTCTGACTGTACCCAGTGCATGTATAAACAAAACAAACAAGCAAACCAGCAAACAAATAAATAAAGCATGCCTCTATAAAAAAAAACAAAAAAAAAAAAAAAAAAACAAAGATCTTTGTTCTGAGGGCAGATTGGCGGGAGATAGAGGAGATAGAGGAACAGAATTTGGAACCAAACTGACAATAGGATAATGAAAATCAAGTATGGAAAGGGAGAAATGATGCAAGAGAGAAAGTGAGAGCCCTGGCATAATCTGCACTTTAAATATATATATATATGTAATATATATATTTACATATATATTTACATATATATATTTACATATATATTTACATATATATATTTACATATATATGTAAAATACTCCCTTGTTTATTGTTTAAAAGAATTTACTGATGAGCAAAACGAAAAAGCATTCTTAGCTACTTTTCATATCTGGCCCTTTCAAAGTTGTAATATGAATGTTATCTCTCCATCAGTTTCTTTGGCGGTGTGGTTTGGGTCTGAAACTTGGATCTATATGGAAATTTATGAATTGTTTATGAACCTGACTTAAGCCATGAAGGTTGGAACTATCTGTTAATGAGAAGTAGATAAAACCACTCTTGTCCAACTCAGGGTTATCCAAGCGCTTCTCGCCCTGAGGTTATAGCAATCAGGTAATGAACCCAGAGGTCATACTTTCTTTGAATCCGCTGTGATGCTGGGTGTAGAGGCACTTCCGCAGCTTCTTCAAAACTTACTGTCTGTAGCTCCCATCCACTTTCTTTGGCTAAGCTCTAGCTCAGAGTGCACCTTGGAATTCTTCCTGGACCCCCTTCTGAGTGCTCTGGTTTTGATGATCTCCTGGGACACATTTAGCATGTCTTTGAGGCTCCAGTCTCTCAGCCCCTCCTCTGCTCAGGCAGCTAAGCAAACACCTGACCTGGCCCCAGCAGAGCACACCTGGCCCCCTCTGGAGAGAGAGCATCTCTAGGTGATGAGACGATCTTTTCACCTCTGCAACCTCTTTCCCTCATCCTCTAGCTGTTTGGACTGAGCATGTGAAAAAGAAGCTTTAGCAAAGAGTCTTTCTATTCCATAAGTCTTATTTCATCATAAAATGTCAGCATCACCTTGAACCATCAAATTGGCCAAGTCTAACAAATACTTGCCTGGGGGAATTTTACTTGGAGGACTTTAGCTCATCTATTCCTCCAGATTAGCTTTTCTCAAACTCTGTGTGTCTCTTGCTTTCTGGGAGCTTCTAAAAGTCACCCCTTAAAGAAACTAGCTGTGGGTGGAGAGGAGGTTTTGTTGTAGAGCAACCCCAATACAAAACGGGGTGCCTAAAAAAAAAAAAAAACAAAACGGGGTGCCTGACTGTGGGTCCTCACCCGTGTGCTTAAAAGGACTTATCAATGCTCTACTGCAGGCACACGCGAAAGGTTAATATAAGGTTTATTTACAAGGGAAGGGGAAATGAGGAAATGTACAGCTCTGGGAAAAAAGTGAAAGACAAAATTTTAAATGAGTCCTACCAGATCCGCCGATCTGAAATCCCAAATGGCGCTCTGAGACCTGGCTACAAGCTAGGAGCCGTAAAGCCAGGAGGCGGGCAACAACGAGCCCCCCAAGGCCCACGTGTTTGGTTTTTATACCCAACCTGGCTGCTTAACTCCACCCTCAGGTCCCAGCCACCTTCCCTTTGGTGGTGATGAAATTTGTCTTTCCCAATGTCTTGATGGCTTTAGTCTGGACTGGGAGTGGAGTCCACAAAGCCTGTATGGGATTAGCTCAGGACATCATTTCTCCCTAACAGTTTCAATAGATGAATATGGGAAACAATCTACCCTTCACTTCAACCTGGAGGCTCCTGTGAATGTTTCCATATTAAAAGCTCTTAGAAACCCTGCAGTTAAAAAAATCAGCTTTGATTTGTTTAATCTTGATTATCTTGATTACTTTTTATAGCTCTGTGGGTCTGGTGATCTGAGAAACACAGTTTCAGAAATGCTGCTAGATCAAGCTAAATCACTAGAAAGTTGCTCTCATCAAGTTATATTTTGGGGTGATTTTGTTTTCTTCAAAGGGTACTCCAAGAAATAACCTCTTACTGCGTGAACATTCAGGAAGGTGGCCAGGGCCTGTGCATGACACTACTCAGTGTCAGCTGTAAACATCTGCAAAACTTTTTTTTGAGCAAAGTGATTCAGGAAAAAGCTTTGTTTTCTCTGAGGGAAGATTGCGTATGTCCCTATGACTCAGAAATTCCAGACTATGTAATTGGCTATTTGCCATGTTTGCTTTGGCCACCAGGAAGCTCATCCATAGCAAGTGTGAAATATCCCTCCCATCCCTTTAGTCTACATTTCCTATGCTAGTTGATGGTTTACCTGCTCCTCATGTGTGTTGTTTGAGCTTTGTATTTGTATTTCACCCTCATCTATATTCTGTAAATGATTCTAAATCATTTGTGGAAAGAGTTGCTATAGAAAAAAAGAGAAATGAAGGTGGAAAAACAGAGGACAGAGTATAGAACAGAAGGTGGAAGGGTGGGGGAGAATGTAGGTGTGGAACCTGCCGTCCCCTCTGGCTTCCAGATTTACCCCCAGGGCTCTCGCCTCCTTCAACTCACATTGTATCAAGGACAATGGAGGCTTGGAGACAGCCTGTGCTTGTGTGAGAACACCTCTCCACTTGCCCTCTGTTTGCCACATTCCAGGGAGCACGAATCTGGGATCTGGACCACTGGACCATGTGAAAATAAATCTTCCCAAGAACGGATTGTGACTCATTAAACTACTCTGCAGGGTAATCAGCTCAACGGCAGCAGGTTACCAAATCAGCTGCTCTTTTCTCCCGAAATGTTTGTCTTTGGCTTTTGCAGAGTCCCCTCTGGGAAGAAGACACTGGGATAGAAATAACATAGAGTTCTGGGTACTTGGACTACATGTTGGTGGTGGAAAGGCTGTTTTTGAGTTGATTGGCAGGTCAGATAGACCTGTGATCAAATCTTAGCTGTGAGTCTTGGAGCAACCAACTTAAAGTCCCTGATTGACTCTTAGTTTAGTCATCAGCCTATTGGAGATCAAAATGGTATCTGTGGATACGATTGACCTTTTGGTCATAAGAGTCAGAGAACTCAACTCAAGCTTGCATAACCTGCAGAGGAAGTGTGTTTCTTGGCTCACGTGACCGAGAGGACCAGACAGAGGTGCTTGGGCTTTGGCAGGAACTTGACCATCGGGCTCTCACAAGAGTTTCCATTTGATGGATACTTTGATGGATTGGTCATTTACTCCTCACTACACACCTAAGAGATGATATTATTTCTCCCTATGGGTGAGAAAACCAGGTCACAGAGAGTTTAAATGGCTAATGTGTGGCAGCCAGGATGTAACCTCAGGGATTCTGGTCCCTGCACCACACTGAATGAGATCCCTCCTTTGCCAGAAGGTATGAGAGTGAACATGGGCCCCCAAGGCTAAACAGAGAGCCCCAAACAACCATTGCTGTCTGGACTCCACATTCCTGCCATCTTTGCTGAATCACTGACATTTCTTAGCTTCAGTAACTTCCTGATTGCTTCCTGCTCCCCTCATTGTCCTATACACTCTCAACACACCAGTCACAGCAGTCCTTTAAAGGTGGAAGTCAGCTAGCTCCTATTCCTCTGCCACTTAAAACCCTGTAACGATATCCAGCCTGCTCTGGACAAGAGCCAAATTCCCTCCAATGACCATAAGCCTCTCCAACAGATGGCCTTGCTATCTCTCTGACCTTATCTCTCTCTGTGCCCTCCTTTCTCACTTTAGAACACCGATTCTGTATCTGATAAGCGTTGCAAATCCAGAACTCTTTCAATGTAATAGTAAGAAGACAAGTAACCTAATTAAAAATGAGCAAAGGATTTGAATAGACATTTCTCCAAGAAGACATGTGAATGACTAATAAGAATTATGAAAAGATGCTCAATTTATTAGTCATTGGAAAAACACAGCCCAAAACTTCAATTAGATATCACTTCACACCCACTAGGATGACTATAAATAATTTTTTTTTAAAAAAGCAGTCTATAACTGGTATTGGGGAATATGTGGAGAAACTGAAACCCCATACATTGGTGGTGGGAAAGTTTAAAAGCAGACTCTTTGCAAAACGTTTTGGCAGTTCCTCAAAAAGTAAAACAAAATTACCATATGATTCAATAATTGCACTCCTCCATATATATTCAAGAGAAATGAAAATGTGTTCACATAAAAACTGGTGAATGAATGCTCATAGTAGCATTATCCATACTAGTCCTCAAAGTGAAAACAACCCAAATGTCCACTAACTGATGAATAGATAAACAGTGTGGCATATACATACAATGGCATGTGTTTCAACTATAAAAATGAATGAAGTGGGCCTCCCTGGTGGTGCAGCGGTTGAGCGCTGGGTTGCGAAGCTGCCCCGCAGCCTCTGCAGCGCCAGTTCGATCCCAGGCCGCCGGGCGAGGGTCCCACGTGGTGCACAGAACTCTCCTGCCGCCCGCTGCTCCCCTCAGCAGTGTACTTCGTCACTCTGCCTGTTCTGCTCCCCGCTCTGGCTCTGGTGAATTCTCTCACCCTCCCGCGCCTCTGACTGTACCCAGCGCTCGTATAAATAAATAAATAAATATTTCAAAATAAATAAATAAAAAATAAAAAAGCAACAAATATTAAAAGCTGGAAGATTTTCGAAAAAAAAAAAAATGAATGAAGTAATAACACATGGATCAACCTCGAAAACATGCTAAATTAAGAAGACAGGCAGAAAGGTCACGGATGTTTTGATCCCAAATATAATGTCCAAAATAAAAAATATAAAGAGCTTACTCTATCAGTTTTAAGAAACCAGCAATATTAAAAAGTTGTAAATTTTTGATTGGTTCTAAAAACTAATTAAATTTAAAAAGACCAAAGGTTTAGTAATAAGTTACTGTTTCCAATTCTCCTTTGAATAGGTTTGCAATAAATATACAAGGAGCATTTGTGGGGTGTATTATAGGTCACGGCTGTAGATAACTAACTAGTCTTTTATTGAGTATTCTTGACAAGTTGTGAGGTAGAAGTGTTCTGATTTCTTAGAGAGACAAACGGAGACTCAGATGAGTTAAGTTAATCATCTTAAACTTTAGGACAGTGGCTCCTTTTACTCATCTTTGCACTGGAGTTTGGCAAAAGTGATGTTGAAAGGGGAAAGTGATGGTCTCCAAGGGGAAAAGGCAAGTTTCATATCAGAGTATATAGCTCACACTTACTTTCTCCTTAAAGTTTAAATAAAACTTTTAAACAATTATTATTCATCCTAAAATTTAATGTACTCTAGATAGGCCTAATTTCTTGACCACCTTCCCCCCCACTTTCCACAGCTCCAATCTCAACCCCCTCTATGGGGTAACCTCTGGGTAACCTCTGGGGTAACCTCTGGGTAACCAGCTGGGTGTTCTCCTCTATACCTGTTGCTCTGCATTTGTGTTTTCCTTTGAACCACACTGGATGACAATTTTATGGCCAGCTTTGGCAATCCTGGACCTTAGTATTTCCCCTGGGACTGATCTCCACCTGCCTTTTCCTCCTGTCTATCCTTTGGCCTTGACTTTCTCTTTTTTTTTTTTAAGATTTATTTATTTATACAAGCACCAGGTACATTCAGAAGCTCGGGAGGGTGAGAGAATTCACCAGAGCCAGAGCGGGGAGCAGAACAGGCAGAAGGACCGACGTACACTGCTGAGGGGAGCAGCGGGCGGCAGGAGAGGTCTGTGCGCCATGTGGGACCCTCGCCCGGTGGCCGGGGATTGAACCAGCGCTGCAGAGGCTGTGGGCAGCTTTGCAGCCCAGCACTCAACCGCTGTGCCACCAGGGAGGCCCGACTTTCTCTTTTTCTTTCATTAAAAAAAAAAAAAGCATAAAATATTCTCATCAGCAATCAAAACACCCTTCTCTGTACAGAGGCCTCAGGAAGATTTAGTTCCCTCTCGGAGTAAAGTCCTGGTTTGTAGCCCTGGCCTCAGCCTTGTTCCTGTGTCACAGGGAAAATCACCAGGGTTGTTTTGTTCTCTGACGGTGACCCCATGCTCTACTATAACCAGCTGAGACCCTAAAAGAAGAATCAAGAGAGACAGGTGTACATTTTCCAAATGTAAGAAAGGTGTGAAGATGAGGGCATGAGGGGGTAAAGAGTGGAGCTTGGGAGTTTTTCCTTTTTTGGTTAACCTCTGTGGGGATAGTCTTCACTCTGCAGAGTCAGCACTACCCATTCATCTTCTAGAAATTTATCTGCCTTCTAAAACAACTTAGCCAGCAACTAAGGAGCCCTTAGTCCAGTTGGTGCTGGGCAGAGGTCGGAGCACGTGGTTGGCAGGGTAAGTTTTCTGCCCACAGCATGATTTCTTGCAAAATAAGTGGATCTCTCGTTAAAAATAAAACAGAATTTAATTCCAAAAACTCACCTTAAAGCAGAGCCTTTAAGGAGTGTGAGAAACATATATTATTTGTGTATAGGTGATCATTTGTGTACATGTGGTTAGAATGATCAATGTGTTCATTTCCGAGATAGTAATGGGTATTTCGGGGCTCATAAGGTGGAGTGTTTCTCCCCTTTTCATCTGAAGAGGGTAGACAAAAGCAGATGTTTCTAGGACCCTTTAATTCAGAGTTCTTCATCTCAACCTCCCAGGACTTGAGTCCCCCTGCGTGACCAGAGCAGGGCTGTCTGAGAGAGGATGGGGTTCCAGGCTTGGGAGCTTTTAATAAGGAGGAAAGAGAGGAAAAATTTGAGAGCTCCCCTGCAGAATTGGAAGGGTAGGACAGAGGTTCGATGAGTTCCAGAAAAGAGGAGCTGGCAGGACCTCTGATGGAAATACCTGTTTTGAGCAGAGCAAGTTCTGGCCCCAGGCACAGAGACTCCTGGTCTGGGCAGAGACCTTCCATGCTCAAGCCGGTCTCCAAGACAACAGAATGCTACCTGCAATGCAGGCTGAGGCAATGGAGCGAGTGTGTCCAGTGTGGGCTGGTGAATGGAGGGTCTCTCCAGGTGTTCTAGAATGCCATACTCCCAAGGACTTTCACACAATCCTAGAGAGAGGAGGGCCTCCTAAAATATGACTAAGATGGAATTTTCCAGCAGCTAGGCTGGTAGGGGCTCCTTAGCTGATTTATGGAATGAGTGTTTTCTTATGGCGATTATCAGGGAGTCTGGGTAACACCCATTACATAAAACCTGACTTCAATCCACATCACAGTCTTTATACTTCTGTTTCTTTCAAATTTTATCTTTATGGGGTGTATTCCACTGAGTACTTTACAAGAGTCCAATAAATCCCTGTCACATACAAAATCTCGTTTTTTTATCCTCACATTGAACTTTGATGGTGATAAGGCAGGTATTGCCTGATTTGCTAAAGGCCAGAGAGAAATCTGATCCATAAATGAGTCTTTCATGTCTCTTTCCTATGTCCTGGGCGGTCGAGGTTGGGCCCCATGCTCTTCCATTTAACCCCGAGATTGGTTACCAACGCTTCTGGCCTCACAGTTTCTGCTAGTCATAAAATTTACCAACCTTTTGCTTCTCTCACTCTGATTCCTTTGATCTGCCTTACCCTAGACCTGCCCCACACGCCATGCCTGTCCCCTATCAATGCTCCTTATCTGGCTTTTATCCTTGTCAATTCTAATCTCAGTGTGGGGACACTTCTGTTTCTTTGCCCCAACAATTGGTTTGTGTGTAGCAGATGCACAATGAGCCCCTCCTGTGTGCCAGGCTCCATGGGGGACATTTTCCTTTCTCCCCCTGCCACTCCAACTCCTCTGTTCTCATAGTTGTATGTACTCTTGCTGGCTCACGGTATGCGCTGTGCCACCAGGCTGTGAAGGCCACATGGAAGTACTTAGTTCTCCTTTAGTTCTCTTGCTCTTTCAGAGACAGAATTGAGTGATATTAAAATGCCCCTAAAGCAATTGTTGTGAATCTCCAACTTCAAGTCCCTAAATACCCATCATACCAGATACCAATGAATATGCTTCGTGACCTGTCTGGCATTTACTCATTCATTTCAACATCTGAAAATTCTCTTTCTCAAATGTCAGCACCTGATCTGAGGTAGAGAAGTGATAGTCCCTGGTCTAAGGGTACCTTGTGAAACCCTGGAAGACTTCCTGTAGGTGGTGGTATTAGTGGTAGAATGAGTTGGGGGAGGGAAGTATCTTTTTTTTTTTTTACTCTTACATCTTCACTTAAACTGTTACCAAATGCACTGCTCCTCTTGGTTGGTAAAGTACCAGTGTTCAGCAAGGACACTGGTATGGTCACCATGTTATGACTGTAAAGCTTCTGAACTGCATAAACAAAATAAGAGGAAAGAATGGCCTCTCAATTGGACAAGGTGGGTTTGTCCTTCTTGTCTCACATAGACGAAGCCAAAGGTAGGTTCTAAGTTCCAAGCAAAGGTCTAGCAGCTTTCTTTAACCTATAAATAAAACAACCAGATTCATTTGCATGACAGCCATCTCAAATTCCTGGTGCCACTGCAATGCCAATGTCACAGCTGTAAGCATGAGTGTCCCCAGGGAGAAGTACTTGATGCTTTTCTTAAAAATCTGAGTTCATACTCTCCATTTTTCATTTTTGACAAGCTAAGCTAGTGGGTATGGCAGCTGCCCTCTCCTTATACTAATGAATTTGCTTCGTGCCCTGCCTGGCATGAATCAAAGTTGGGGTCAGCTATTGGAGAGTGAAGTATTTGACCTTTCCCGGTGAAAAGCTACCCCAGCCCTGGCATTGTGAGTTTTGGAAGCTATAGGCAACAGGATTAGAACAAAGAACCAGGTGTTCTAAGGAATGTTTACATCTTCTTGGGGGATATTTTTCTTATTACCATTGTAAAATTTCAACATCTGAAATTTAGGAAAAGTGCAAATATGCAACAAAGCAAACAAAAGAAGATAAGAATCACCTCTATTTTCAAAGCTCAGAGATAATTCAATGAGCATTTTGATAATCGATTCTTTCTGTGTATGCGTTTTTTTCTTTTTTTATAGAAATGGGATCCTTATCTCTCTGCAAACTGCTTTTCTTACCAATAAAACATTATGTACAGTATTCCATTTCCTCTGATTGACTATCTTTGATGAGAATATTTGGAATGGCAAATATTAGCCGCTGGTATGGGGGCATCCTAATTTATTTGACAAATCCTCTAAGGTGGTATGTAGGCCATCTCCCACTTTCCCCATGATAACCAATGTCATGACGATTCTCTCTGAGGTTAGACATGTCGTTCCATGGAACACACATTTTGAAATCATGACTTATTTTCACCAGCAGAGTGGAGACATCCCAGTGGCTTACCTGTGCAAATTAAAGACTCATGTCAACACCCTGTGTTTGCATATGCGCATGTGTGATGATGAACTATAAATACAAAACTTAAACGCTCATTTCTTTAACCAGCTCTACTTTCAAGGGGTCATCTTATCCCAATTCCTTTTTCTTCTAAGTGAAAAGAGATGCTTGCCCGGGAAGTGGTAGGTATAGTGGAAGCCCCAGATCTTACTTCCCTTCCAGATGCCTGTGAGTTTGTGCTTTTATATCTGGGATTTTTATAGAGGACTCTGCAGGTGGGGTGGGAGGAAGTGGTGGAGGCTTGAGGAACATTCCATTTTATTTGAGATATTCTACCTCTAGGTTTGGGCCTCTCTTAAACTTTGCTGTTACATACCCTTCCCCAGCCCCTCCATCTTCTCGAAGAAGAGAAGTGAACACAGACCCAAAGGCAGCTTCCTGGGATGTCAGAGATAAGCCTTCTTCAAAGGACAGATATGTTTTCAAGGACGGCTAAGAATAATGATTCCCAGATGTAGAATCTGTGGCTTGCCAGTGGCGGTCACAGTGCTGTTCTGGGTTGTTCTAATTATAAGGAGTTTGCATTCTCAACAATCTTGTGTGGCTTAGAGTCAAAGGCAGTCCTGCCAACCCAGCCTGCTAATAAAGGTTGCTCCTGTGTAGAGAGGGCATACTGCAAACCAGGTCACCCCCAGGCCTCAGCTAGCAAGATGGGTGTTGGTCCCTCTATTTTGCAGATGAGAAGACAGAAATTGAACCAGGGTTGGTAACTATCCCAGAATCACATGTTCAGGAAATGGAAGAGTCAGGATTCTAACTCCATCTGACCTGAGAGCCTCTGGACACCGGCCACTATGCCTGCTGGTCATTGAGCTTTACTGTCTTTGTTTTAAGTCCCTTTGGTGGGGAAGCTTCAAGGTCACTGGGGTTAGAAGGAATAGGGCTTTTTGGCTGTCTGTGTTTTAAGTCTCCAGAAAATGCTGTTTGCTATCAACCTTAATTTTTAACTGTCCAAAAAACTTGGAGATAAATATGATTGATCTTGAGAATACATCAATGCCTTGATCTGAAAATGTGGGATTTTGGTGGTTATGGGGACAGGGACTTTGATATTTTGCAGAAATGGGGTCAGGGACCTCTGGAAGCTTTTCCCGAACTATTGCTCCTCCCTGTACTTCTGGCTGGGATGTCCTCGACGCTAGGTCTGGCACCTGAGTGGTGGCCATAATGCCATATTCGGCTTTGATGCCTGCCTCTCCCTGACACAAGGACCATCTTGTCATCCTGCTCTACTTGGGTACCAGGCACGGAGTCTGGCCTTGATTTCTAGCTCAGTGGGAATCCTCCTATATCCTGCATGTGTTCATTCTCCTAACCCCTATCTGCCTTTCAAGCCAGAGGTAGCAGGACAGGGTCCCAGACCAGAGGAGCCCCTATTGGAGAGAGGCAGGCAGTGAATTTGAATATTTACTGGCAAAAAAACTGATAATGAGCAAAAGCTACATGGATCCACATGGATAAATTAAAAAAATATATATAGAGTTCAGTAAGCAATTAGTCACAGAGTGATACACCCATTTGCTATCATTTATGTGAGGTTAAAATGCTAAACAAGGGCCTCCCCAGTGGCACAGCGGGTTGAGCGCAGCGCTGTGAAACTGTCCACAGGCCCTGCAGTGTGGGTTCAATTCCCTGCTGGCCAGGGAGCAGCCCACATGGCGAAGCAGACCTCTCTTGTCTCGCTCGCTGCTCCCCTCAGCAGTGTACTTCGGTCAATCTGCTGTTCTGCTCCCCACTCTGTCTCTGGTGAATCATCTCATCCTCCTGCACCTCTGGCCTGTACCCCAGCTATTGTATAAATAAAAAATAAATCTTTTTTTTAAAAAAAAAGAACAATAAAAATCACACACACACAAAATGCTAAACAAGCCTGCGTATTGTGTGGTGATACAAATCTACCTAAGACAAACACCGCATTTATGAGGTGGTTACCCCAAGGTGATTTGGGGAGGTGGCTGTTGGAGAGGGCGGATGTGGGGTTTCAGTGCACAAGATGACGTTTTATTTCCAAAGGAGGAGCACTGGGCATGCTAGGAGCACTTGTAATTCTCTACCCACGTTTGTGATCATTAATTATGCACTTAAAAAGGCAGGCTTTAAAGATACACACACATCTGCTCTATAACTCCATCTCAATTTTGTATTTCAGAATGCTTTTATATTTGTGGTCGAGAAAAATGGGAGAAAACAGAAGGTGAAGCCCTATGAAATTGTCATTTTTGTAGGTTAAAAAAGGTGGACTATCAGCAGCCTCCTATCTTTCAACCCAATCTACCAAAGGGGCCACAATCATGATTTTACAGGGAGATTGTGGTCAATTTTTTCTTTTTAATCTATTTATATCGTTTTTAAATCCCCCCCCCATGAACATATTATATTTTTTCAAAAAAGGTGCCTGTGTGTTGTGAGAGCAGAGAGAGAAAGCTGTCCTTCTGCTGCCCTCTTGCGTGCCTGACAGCCGGGGCGCTGTCCTGCACCTGCCTGAGGTCACCTGGGCTGCAGGGTGGGGTTGCACCTGGGCGCAGGTGCCG